TGTACCGTTTCCAAAGGAAACACAGCTCAGGACATTCCATACATTAGAACATTTGCTGCGGTAACTGCACACACCTTTTTCAATATCCATGGGGAAACTGCTGCATGAAGTTGCTATCACATATAGGACTACTCTACATTTTAAAGACGTACTTATATTTTATATTTTTGGTGTTTTGCTTGCATGTATGTCTGTAGAGGCCAGAAGATAGCATCTGATCCTATGGAACTACAGTTACGGATGGTTGAAATCCGCCATGTGGGTGCTGTACTCCACTCCTCTGGAGGAGGAGCTGTAGGACCCTCACCCCTTATTCTCAAAGGGGCGAGAAGAAATTTCCTAGCAGAATGTTTTCCCAGGAAGATAGTGGCCTTCCCCTCTCCCACCCGGGAGATTCCGAGCACAATGTCACTTAGCTCAGCCCAGCCAGCCACCTGGTACAGGCTGATAAAGATGGCCTAACTCAGGAACAGTAGCCTTGTTCTAAGAACAAGGAAAAAGTTGACTTAGCAGAATGGGAGGGAGCAAAATTCCTTGCATCCGTGCCAAAGCAGCTTCAAAAAGCCTCTTTGTAGTTATGCTTTTAAAAGCTTACCCCAGGCCGGGCGGTGGTGGCGCACGCCTTTAATCCCAGCACTCGGGAGGCAGAGGCAGGCGGATCTCTGTGAGTTCGAGACCAGCCTGGTCTACAAGAGCTAGTTCCAGAACAGGCTCCAAAACCACAGAGAAACCCTGTCTCGAAAAACAACAACAACAACAACAACAAAAAATAAATGAAAAATAAAATAAAATAAAAGCTTACCCCACAGAGGAGATACAACTCCTCTCTCTACCTCACTATAACAGGATTAGTAGATAGGGGTTCCAAATATGTTTGTAGTATGCTAATTAAACCTTGCTTATTACAGTCTGGGCCTCTCTGGTGGTCGTATCTGGGCACAACAGAGTCAATGCTCTAAACCACTGAGGCATATCTTCAGGCCTTCACCTTGGATTTTGAGGCAGGGTCTCTCACTAGGTCTTGCACATGAGGCTATGCTGGCCAGAGAGTTCTAGAGCCTGTTTCTCCAATACCAAGACCAAATCTCCATCACTAGGATCACAATATGCAACGACTTTAGTGGGTGCAGGAATTGAACTCAGGACTTGATGCTTTCAGAGCAAGCACATGACAGACAGAACTCTCTACAGCCCCCCCACCCCCAATCTACACCCCCTTACCCCTCGAATTAAAAATAAAATATATCCTCTCTCGGTTCCAGTGAGATGGCTTAGCTGGTATTGCAGTCAAGCCTGATGACCTAAATTCAATCTCAGGAACCACATAATGGAAGAACTGAACAGAACCAATTCCAACAAGTTGTCCTCTGTGCACAGCACAGGTGAGCACGCGGTAACTCTCAGAGTACTGCCAGCAAATTGCTTGTTTCCAGCCTCTGTTTTTTCTGTCCCTGGTGTGCACCCCCTAAAGCCTCCTAGAGGTCAACCACTCCCATGAGCCAGTCTAGGGTTCCCGGGAAGACCGGCCAATCCCGTGGCAGAGCTCTGCTTTGGGAAAGTCGCCACGTCTGAACGCCAAAGCCCGCCCAGCTCCGCCCCTCTCCGCGTCTCCTTGGCGACACTGAAGCGCCCGGGCCCCACTCCCGACCGACTTCGCCCGCCGCCGTGCCCAGACCGCTACGCGCCTTTGCTGGAAAATGGGCCTCAGAATATAGGTGTTCTCCGGCTCCCCTGAGTTCTTGTCGGCCTCGAACAAGCCCTCGGAGGCGCCGACTGATATGGACCGGCTTTTGGTGGACGCGGCCATAGTCCCGCGTCTGGACCAGCGGATCTCTAGAGAGAGGCCCGGCCGGTTGCTGCAGCCCAGAGGTCCCAGAGCGCGTCCCCAGGGCAACGGGTCGCTCACGTGACATCCATAGCCATGCCCCCTTTTGGCGCCTGCGCACTGGCTGCAGCTAGTGGTGCCTTGGAGTCTGGGGTTAGGGAACCTGCCACTTGCTGGCAGCCAGCAAGCAGCGGGACCACCCCAGACTAACTTCCTTCTGTTTCTTCTCTTCCTGTTTTTGAGACAGGTGGCCTCGAATTCGCTAGGTAGCCGAAGGTACCGCTGAACTCCGGCCTCGACCTTCCCAGGTTTGGGATAACGGGCATGCACCACCGTGCTAAATTTTATGGGTGCCAGAGCTAGAACTCTGAGTCATATCTATGCACACTGTTCCTCCTGGTTTTGGACAACTTGTGAATTAAAAGAAAGAGTCAACAGTAGAGTTTATGTATAATTTTTTGTTTTAATTTTTGAGGCAAGATTTTTTTTAATTTTAGTTGAAATTTTTTTTTTTTTTTTTTTTTTTTTTTTTTTTGGTTTTTCGAGACAGGGTTTCTCTGTGGCTTTGGAGCCTGTCCTGGAACTAGCTCTGTAGACCAGGCTGGTCTCGAACTCACAGAGATCCGCCTACCTCTGCCTCCCGAGTGCTGGGATTAAAGGCGTGCGCCACCATCGCCCGGCTTGAAATTTATTTTATACACTATATTCTTATTATGCTTTCTCCTTATGCCAGTTCCACCAGATCCCCCTCACCTCCCTGTCAGATCCAAAGGAAACTCTAATTCGCTCAACTCCAAAGGGCAGCCCAAATATCCAGAAATTAACTCCTGCTGGACTATAGGAATTCTGGCTGTGAGATAAAAGCCAGCATTGCTCAAAAACCTGTGGAACTGGTTAATGCCTTACCTCCTGCAGAAAGAACATTGGTCTACCCAAGCTCTTACAGCATATCAAAGTGTGTACTGACCTCCAGGCTCCCTCACAGATAACTCTGGCCACGTCCAGTCTCCTGGCCACGTTCAGTCAACTTCATTCTCTCTGCTTTGGACTTTTTCAAATGATTCTGGCTATTCTCTCATATCTGTCCTGGAACTTAAATGAAAATGAGGACTGGACTGCGTGCCTAGGTACAGGTGAGAAGGATGTTTTGTTGTTGCTGTGGTGTGGGAGAATTGTCTGTATTCTGTCAATCATGTTTTAAATAAACGCTGATTGGCCAGGCAGGAAGTAGAGGCAGGGCGATGAGAACAGGAGAATTCTGGGAAGGAGGAAGCCCATTCCTAGCACTCCTGCCCAGACCACTGAAGAAGCAGGATGTAATCTGCCTGTCTAAAAAAGGTACTGAGCCACATGGCTAACATAGATCAGAATAATGGGTTAATATAAGTGATAAGAGCTAATAAGAATCCTGAGCTAATGGGCCAATCAGCTTTATAACTTAAAAATATATATATGTGTGAGCCAGGTGGTGGTGGCGCACACCTTTAATCCCAGCACTCGGGAGGCAGAGGCAGGTGGATCTCTGTGAGTTCGAGACCAGCCTGGTCTACAAGAGCTAGTTCCAGGACAGGCTCCAAAACCACAGAGAAACCCTGTCTCGAAAAACAAAAAAAAAACAAACAAACAAACAAAAAAAGTATATGTGTGATTTTCTTTGGGGTTTGCCGGCTGCAGGGTACAGGGCAGGACGGAAACCCCAACAAGCAAGCCGGCCCCATTCATGTTACATTGCTGTTGTTTTGCTTGTTTGTTTTCTGCTTTTTTGAAACAGGGTTTCTCTTTGTAACATCCTGGAACTCACTTTGTAGATCAGGCTGGAATTAAAGGTGTGTGCCACCACTACCCAGCGCCTGTCTGTAATTTTAACAGGCAACTTAACTAATGAACTAATGAGCTACAGAGGTGGTTGTAACCTTGGGGGTCAGGGGAGAGCTGTTAAACTGGTAAATCTATCAGCACCCAGTCATCAAACACCATCAGATCTGAGAAGGATAAATTTTAACCGAGTAAGCAGAAGTGAGACAGCCTTCCATTTACCTAGACAGCTACCCCAAGTTTCTCAGAGGTTCCAAGGTAGTATCAGTTTTCAACTGCCAAGTAAGATCTGACAGACTTTCCTGTGGAGTAGGAATTTGGGGGAGACCGGCCTACCTTGCTTGTCTTGACAAAGCAGGGTAATCTATTCCCCAGTGTCTTGCTTGTCCACAGACTGGACAGGGTCTTAGCAGCAGTTAAGATGCAAGGCAATTTTTCCTGCGACTGGCTTTGCTACATTTAAAGCAAGCTCCAAATGGAAGTTCTTCTGTGGCCATCCATATAGGATGCTGCCAGGAGCTGGCATGTTTCTACCATGAGAAGCCTTTTTATTAAAATGCCATATTCTCAGACCTCTGAAGCATTTGAGGATCAGGGGTGGTCATTATCTGTTAGGCATAATCAGTTTAGTGTATCTAGAAGGCAAATCCCAGTTTTCACAGGCTCAGGCCTTTAATCCCAGCACTCGGGAGGCAGAGACAGGCAGGTGTCTGTGGTTGAAACAAGGTCTCTCTATTTAGCCAAGACTGGCCTTGAATTCATGATTCTCCTGCCTCAGGTTCCTGAGTGATGGTATTATAAGCATGAACTGCAATGACAATATTTTCCTCACAGTTCAGTAAGCTAGAAATTGGAGATCAAGGTAACAGCAGATTTGATTTCTAGGGAGGTGTGTTTCTTCGGGTTGCAGATGGGTAACTCCTTGTTCCGTCCTTATGTGGCCTTTTCTTTGTCCTCACGTGTACAAACACCATCTTCCTTCTTCTCCTCAACCTTTAAAAAATTGGGGTGGGCCTGGAGAGATGGATCAGTGAATAAGAACACAACCTACTCTTCTAGAGAGCCTAGGTTTTAATTCCTAGCACCCTTATGGTAGCTTACAACTATCAGTAAGTCCAATCTCAAGGAATCTCAGCCCCTCTTCTGGCCTGCAAGAAGAGGCTTTCTTCTTGTATGAAAGTACACAGACATACATACAGGCAAAACATGCATAAATACGAGTAAAATAAGACAAATTTTAAATTAAAAATTACATTTATTTATGTATATATAGGAATCGGAGTTGTGCATGTGCCATGGTGTGTGTGTGTGTGTGTGTGTGTGTGTGTGTGTGTGTGTGTGTGTAGAGGTAGGACAGTTTACAAGAGTCTGTTCTTTCTTTCCACCACGTGGGTTCTGGAGATTAAGCCTCAGGTCTTCGGGCTTAGCAGCAAGCATCTTTACCCATGAGCCACTTCATGGGTCCCTCCTTGGAAAGGTTTAGGAAAGGCCAGCTTACCCTAAGCCCACACCTCCTCTCTGGAGCCTCATCTTTCCTTAAACAAAGGGTTCTCCTTCCTTCTGATAAAGGATGCTCTTGACGTGTTTTATAGGTCAAAGGTTCCTTCTTCCCTGCTGGGAGAGGGGCAGATACATTGGAATAGTTTCTCTGAGAATTGACACCTGGATGATGTTTGTCAGATCAAAGGCCTCCTCCCTCCCTTCTGGAAAAGGGTCCATTATTGTTTAAAAACCAGCCCTGAGCCTGCACCTGGTGGGATATGACTGCAGCCTTTAGATCTTTTTTTTTTTTAAAGATTTATTTATTTATTAAGTATACAGGCCAGAAGAGGGCACCAGATCTCATTACAGGTGGTTGTGAGCCACCATGTGGTTGCTGGGAATTGAACTCAGGACCTTTGGAAGAGCAGGCAGTGCTCTTAACCACTGAGCCATCTCTCCAGCCCAGCCTTTAGATCTTAAGGACCTTATCCTCCCTTCTCTCCCAAGAGTTTTTCTGAGGCACTGCCTGCTAAGAAAATGCCCAGTATATTCTCAATACTCTTCATTGGCTTAATAAGCACGGGGATCTGCAACTTTCTCTCATGGAGTATTTATTCCCCTCCCTTCCTCCCCCTCTCCCTCCACTCCTTCTGTCCTTTTCCGGTATTGGAGACTGATCCCAGAATTCTGCTTATGTTGTAACAGTAAGCTACATCCTTGGCCCTATTATTTTGAGACAGGGTCTCTCTAATTTGCCCAGAACTGCCCATCCTCCTGCCTCATCTTCCTGAGTCTTTTTTTTTTGTTTGTGTGAAACAGGATCTCAATATGTAGCCCAGGCTGGTCTTGAAGTGATGATCCTCCTGACTCCAGCTTAGAGCCCACAGGTGTGCCCCACCATGCCCAGCCTCTTGCCCGTCTTGTAAGGATGTCAATCCTACTGGATCAGGCCCTCACGTTTATCACCACATGTATCCTTGATTACATATAAGGAAGGCCCTGTTTCTAATACAGTCACATTGGTGCTAAGGGTTTCTGTCTAAGCTTTGGAGGAAATGCAGTTCTGTCTATTACAATAGTAAACCTGATTTTAGAATTTGGGGGGTCACCTAGCTGTGTGTTTGAGATTGGAGAGCCCCCTTTGGGAGTCTCAGCTTCTCTGCCCTGACATGTGGCCAACTTTCATGGGGTTGTCAAGAGGCTGAAATGAAATTATCTTACGGATTAAAAATCCCTCCCTATACACCAGCAATGACTTTAGTGCTCTTTCTATTACAGTGTCATCTTCAAAGTATGCAGCGTGACTTTCATTTTATCCTACCATTCCCCCTATGTGCAGGAAGGTGCTGGCAGCTTACAGGAGGGCCTAACGGGGATTCCCACCCTGTTCTTGCAGAAAGGGTTGGAGGAAGTTTGCAGTGAGAACACCAGTTCAGGAGAGGACTTCTGTTACCTAACTCTTCTCACAGAAGCTGCAGAACAGCCCAAGGATGCTATTGATGACATGAATGGCCACCAGGAGAAGCTGGAGGAGGCTGATACACACGAGGGTGGAGAAGAAGGCCACGTGCCAAACCACAGCCTTAGAGGGCTCCAGGCAGACGGAGGTCCAGAGTGAACTGTCATACAAATAATTCCTAGCCCAGAGAATAAACAAAAATAGCCAATCAAGAAACTCCAATAGAAAAACACAGGGTTGGGGCTCCCCTAGCCCCAGGTCACAGGACTGTGCTTGTAAGGGTGACAGTTACCTGTTGGGAAGATCTTTGAAGGGATAGCCAAATTTCCAAGCTTGTGTCTGATTGAAGGATGAGGTGTCGAACATACAAAAGGGACCATCTTGCAAGGCTACTCCAGAAGTGACAAAGCAAACCAAGGCCCCCAGCAGAGTCAGGCTGCTTGACAACAGAGCAATGAGCATCTGTAGAGGAGACAGGAGACACAGCTTACACGGAACTGTGGTCACGGGACTGGTGAGGTGACACGGTCAAGTGGCAGGCATTCTCCACAGATTCATTTAGAACGTGTCCAAGGGTGTCTGTCCCTGGGAAAAGCCCAGAAGAAACTGACAAACAGACACACGGATCTCCATCTCCCTGCACAGAGTCTTTGGCCCCTCCAGCAGATTGAGACCTCCTTGCTAGTCTACTGCAGTCTCCGAGCTCTGGACTAGCAAAGTGGTTTTCGCATGCCCACTTTTCTTCTCTACTGACAACCTATCATTAAAACCACCAAATTCCCACTCTTGATCTCTTTCAAATCAAGCAAAAAAAAAAGAAAAAGGCAAGAAGGAAGCAGAGGAGAAGTTTCTTGGTCGGTAGAAGACGCAAATTCTGTTAGTTTATCAGAAGCCAAAGGCCATGGTTCTCCTTCCGGCGTGTCAACACAATCACCTGGGAATGCTTAGTTGAATGTGGACTCTCTTCAACCCATCCCAGATGTCCTGGGTTAGAAATCACAGGTAAGGCAAAGCAATTTGGGTTTTAACAAATGCTTTAGAAAGTCTGATGCTCACCCAAGAGTCACTTGATTAGCCAGGCAGTGGTGGCACACACTTTTAATCCCAGCACTTGGAAGGCAGAGGCAGGCAGGCAGAGGTCAGTCTGGTCTGCAGAGTGAGTTCAAGGACTGCCCAGAGCTAGGCAGAGAAACCCTGTTTCAGGGTGGAGAAAAAGCCACTCGCTCAGGCCAAAGAGAACAGAGAGTAGTAAACGAAGCACCTATGTGTTTGTAGGTAATGTTTTAGCATGGAACGCAGTTGGAGGGATTCCCAGTGTGCGTGTGGCTGTAGGAACCAGAGCGGGTCTCTTGTGGAGTGACAGTAATGGGGCACCCATTCACACTAAATACGTATGTGCTGGGTACTTCTGTCAACTGGACACAAACTACAACAACCCGGGAGGAAGGGCCGCCAACTGAGGTTCGCCTCCCTCTGTTTGGCCTTTAGGCATGTCTGTATAGAATTTTCTTGATTGATGACCGAGGCCATGGGGCCCAGCCCACTGTGGGTGGCGCCATCCCTGGGCAGGTGGTCCCGAGAGGTATTAGAAAGGTAGCTGACCATTAGCCTGGAAACAAGCCCATAAGCAGCACCCCTCTACGGGCTCTTCTTCAGTTCCTGCGTCCACGTGCCTGTCTTGAGCTTCTGCCCTGATCTCCCCCAGTGGTGGATTGTGACCTGGAAGGTGTGAGAGGAAATAAACCCATTCCTTCCTAAGTTGTTTTGCTCATGGTGTTTACCACAGAACCAGAAAGCAAACTAGAACAATATATATATGCATATGTCTGTATGACATGCATAGATGTGTACACACACATACATGGAATCTAGGCTGAGCACAACTATGTGGCCCAGGATGACCTTGAACTTGTGATCCTCCTGTCTCCATCTTTCAAAAGTTGGTGTTAAAAGGGGTGAGCCACCATAGCCAGCTTGGGGTGTTTGAAAGTCTATACCAAGGCAGTGGTAATTAATAATGTACAAACTTATTCTGGGCTTGTCATTATTTGTGGAGTAGAAGAATTAGATTATAAATTGGTGGCTGGATTATTTCTAATGGTAAGAAAAAGGTCTCTGTGCACGCGAGCACACGTGCGAACACGTGTCTGAGTGTGTGTGGAGGCGTGTGGAGGGGTACATGTATATGGTCTGTTTGGGTTCCTTGGTTGGCTGTCTTAGTGCTGAGAATTCACTCCAGTACCTTGTGCACACCAGGCAAATGCTCCACCCCTGAGCTACATCCCAGGCCTCTAAGAAAATGTTCAACCAGCCAAGCACTGGGGAGATGAGGCAGGAGGATGACAAGTTCAAAGATAGCTCCAAGTTACACAGCAAAAATTTGTCTCAAGAAAGTCCAGACAGGAGTTGGAGAAAGATGTCTCGTGGCGGAGAGCACTGCCTGTTCTTCAGAGGACCCGGGTTTTGTTCACCCGCCTGACTGCTCAAGACACAGTGTAACTCTGTTCCAGCGGGTCTGGCACCCTCTTCCGGCCTCCACAGACACCAGGCACACATGTGGCACACAAACATACAAGCAGTCAAAACACCATACACACACGAAGTCAAATAATACAAATAAAAATAAAAGAAAACCAGAAATAACTAAGTAAATACATAAAAAAATAGCCAGGAAAGTTTATAGTATACTTAAATTCTATTCATTTTAGTATGAGAGAATAAACAGCTTATCACATTTGTGTAGATATCTGTGGTTCATTAGCCACTTCCTTCTTTGCCTTGACCACCTCTTCTTTCTAACTTTTTTTTTTTTTTTTTGTTTTTCAAGAGAAGGTTTCTCTGTGTAGACTTTGGAACCTGTCCTGGAACTCACTCTGTAGACCAGGCTGGCCTCGAACTCACACTGAGATCTGCTTGAGTGCTGGCTGGGATTAAAGGTGTGCGCCCCCACCTCGTAGTGACCACCTCCCTTCTTACAGATGAGTCTGGAAAAATTAAGTCACTTGCCAAGAGGTTGGAGTTGTTAAAGGACATAGCTAGGCGCTGACTTCAAGTCTGAAAACTAAAGCTGAGCCCTCTTCCTCTAGAGCAGAGAACGAGAGAGCCATGCTAAAGGGTGGGGCTTGGTGCTTACGTGCAGACAGGGTGCTCTGTCGCTGAAGTAGCCCGTCAGGGAGATGAGAGTTGCTGCCACGAGTACCTGGAAAGCAGAGGAGTGTGTTAGGAGGAGACTACGTGGGCCTGGAGAGATGGCTCAGTGGTTAAGAGCACTGGCCGCTCTGTTGGACGGCTCAGGTTTGGTTCCCAGCACACACGGAAGCTTACAACCTGTTACTCCGGTTTCAGGGAATGGAACAGCCCCTTCTGGCCTCTGAAGGTTCCGGCACCCACATGGTCCACATGCTTACATATGTACAGTCAAAACACCCATGCACATAAAATAAATGAATCTGAAAGAAGAGACCAGGGGATTTGCATTTCTAGCTGCCACACACAGCTGTTGAAATGAACTTAGGGCCCAGGTTGAACTTAGCCTGTTTTGACTCTGTTGATGCTGACATCCATCTAGCCTTCATGCTTCTGAGCTAAAACCCAACAACCCATGATAAGTCCCCCTATTCCTTGTGCTGTTTATGGACCCAATAGCAATTTGTTGGAACACCCCGACCACCACCACCTCCCAGTTCCATCCCTGAAACCCTTCGCCTACCATGAATCCTCCTCCCCAGATCCCAGCGCCCAGCATGGCATGCTTGCCAATGAGGCCCCTCGTCAGGTAGGTCGTATCCCAGTTAGGAAAGAGGAGTGCGATGTTGGCTCCGGCGGCAAACAGTGATGCAGTTCCGAGGCTCAGCCCAAGGAAGCGGGAGCAGGTCCGTGAGCAGGCCACCACACGGGGAAAGGACAACATCCTGGGACGATGGGAGACGATCACAACAGAGCCAGGGTGGGAGTACCCAACAGGACACGGATGGAGACGGCTTCTGAGAAGAGGTCATGTTGAGGACTGCTGAGACACTTTTCAAACACACTGCCTTGCTAGGTCTTCCATAATAATTGGAGTTATAGCCTCCATTTTCTGACAAGCTTCAACCATACGTATTTCCACAGTCCATTTTGTGTGTGCCCTATTATAGCCAGAGATTATTTCTCATTTTTTAAAATTTTTACATTTTCTTCAGTGTGTGTGTGTGTATGTGTGTGCTCGCACACGCGTGTGCATATGTATGTGTGTGTAGGTGTAGGGGCATTCGTGTGACAAGTCAGAGAAAAATATAACAACTTTTATGATTTACCTATTTTATGTATATGGATGTTTTGTCTGTATGTACATCTGTCTGCACACCAGAAGAGGCCGACCGACCCTCCAAGACGACAGTTATAGATGGTTTGGAGCCACTATGTGGGTGCTGGGACTTGAACCTCTGAAAGAATAGCCAGTGCTCTTAACCACTGAGCCATCCTTCTAGCCCAAAGGATAATTTTCTTTTTTTTTTTTTTTTGTTTTTCAAGACAAGGTTTCTCTGTGTAGTTCTGACTATCCTGGAACACCCTGTAGACCAGACTAACTGCATAATCACAGACATCCACCTGCCTCTGCCTCCCTAATGCTGGGATTAAAGGTGTGCACCACTACCGCCCGGCCCAGAGGACAACTTTCAAGAGTCTGTTCTCTCCTTCCATCATGTGGGTCCCAGGGATTGGACTCAACTTGTAAGGCTTGTTGGCAAGCACCTTTACCTACTTACTGGGTTATCTCAATAGACTGTTTCTATCCAATAAAGCTTTCAAAGGGGGCATCAAGATGCCCATTCTCCGTACTTAAAGTCAGCGGTATTCTTTGATGATGTTCTTTGTTTTTTTGAGTTGGGGTCTCACTGTGTACCCTTGGCTGTTCTCAAACTCAGTATATAGATCAAATTCTCAAACTCTGAAAGATATATCTGCCTCTACTTCCCAAATGCTAGGATCAAAGAAAGGCATGTATCCCCACACCTGACCGTCAGTGGTGTTCTTATTGCTTGTCCAGTGAAATAAGAAAAAAAAAAGCCATAAACAGGAAGTAACATTATTCAAAGATAATCTGGCTATATATGTAAAGCAATCTATTGAAAATTACTTGAACTAATTTTAGGTTAATAATAGGTGAGTTTAGCAAGGACATAGAATAAAATATTTATACATATCAGGGCCCCATGGTGTGGAGAAAGTCATCCAGTTGCTCATACAGCAAGCAGTTATCTCATCGATTGGTTTATACATTGCTGGGATATTTCAGGACGAATCCCATTATGGAAGGGAGAAGAGCCATGGCTTCACAGAGTTCTACAGCATTGACAGTGACTATTCAAAAGACAGATGTTCCTTAAGCACTGAAAATCAGGTTCCTTACTCCCCCCTAAGCTTGTCTAGTGATCTGTCAGCTGTGCCTTTACTGTGTAATGGTTGAGGCTCACAGCAGGATACCAGGGACCTGAAGGGGAGGAAGTGGTGAGGAGCTAGGAAAGACGATGGAGGCCTCCTTTTGAAGCCTACCTCCTTGCACCAGATTCAGCCTCCTAGTTCCTGTCGGGATGTGACCGGTGTCCAGAGGCAAGGTCCTCTAGAAAACACTCCTTCCTGCCAGGTGGTGGTGGCGCATGCCTTTAATCCCAGTACTTGGAAGGTAGAGGTAGGCAGATCTCTGTGAGTTTGAGGCCAGCCTGGTCTACAAGAGCCTAGTTCCAGGACAGGCTCCAAAGCTACAGAAAAATCCTGTCTTGAAAAAAACAAAAACAAAAAACAAACAAACAAAAAAAAAGAGAGAGAGAGAGAGAGAAAAGGAAAACACTTCTTCCCACCATGCTGGGGTTTGCTTTGTTTTTGTTTTTCCCTTGTACTCAGTTCCACATTATCTTGTGACTTAGGCAGTCTTCCCTCCTCAGACTATCTTGCTATTTAAGGGCAGTGCTCTGCTTTCGACATTCACCCACTGTTCCTCAGAGGACGGATTTTGTCATGGCCTGTAAGGACTGCATTTTGGACCTGGCCCTTTAGCACCTGCTCATGATCACCCGTAAGTGAAGTGTACTGAGACCCCCAATGATCAAAACCAAATTTCCCTGTTTCTTCAGGAAAGGGTTGAAAATTATCGAGCCTGAGCCAGACATGGTAGCATACACCTAGAACCTCAGACTTGGGAAATAGAGGTTCAAGGTTGTCCTCCACAAAGTGAGTTTGAGGTCAGCTGTGGCTACAAGAGACCATGTCTCAAAAACTCTCAAACCAACCAAACAAAGACTCTCGGTTAATATTGAACTTGAATTTCAGATAACCAACAAATGAAAAATTCTTGAAGTCAGGCATGATGGTGTGTACCCATTAACCCAGCTCCTTGTTGGAAGCAAGAGATCTGGATTTCAAGACTAGCCTTGACTACATAGTATATTGGAGGCTAGCCTAAATTTAAAAAAAAAAACAAATTTAGACAAATTAGAGGAAAAACTACAAACCTGAGTGTGGTCTTTTGGGTGAGTGGAATTCAGAGAACCCCTCTAACTGAACACAGTGGGCTCCTAGTACCTTAGTGAATGCCAAGCCATATTCAGCACATAAGATGTGAGAGCATGAAGGAAGATGTGTTATTACATGTACAGTCCAGAACAGCAAATGCGGCCTCTGCATAGTATGCAGAAGCACACATGCATGCTATGTATGTATGAACGCTTAGTTAGATCATTCTGAGGAAGCTTAAGTCATAACCTAAAATAGAAATCTAGACATATTTTGGAGGGTGCACATATGTAGAAGCAATGGACAGAAATGTCTCTGGGCATGCTCAGCTTGCAACGTAAGAGTTTAGGTGAAAACAGGGAACAGGGGTCTCTGAAGTGGAATTAACCCAAGAGTCTGCCCCTGAGGGTGCCAGCCTTGCTTAGTCACTAATAGCCCTTGGCTGGCCTGCACCTCGGACACTGCAGCAAGAACAGGGAGGTCCTACTCTATCTAAAGAGAAAGGGGGCTGAGCCGTGGTTTGACTTTCATTTCCTCTCCATGACCTTTCCCTTAGAAATCACAATATTCTGAGAAATCATTCCAAATACTTGAGTCAGAAGATTAGTAGAGAAGTGGGCTCGGTTCCATGTGAGTAGAGACAGGCAAGATCAGGTCAAATTTGAGTTTGTTTCTTTTGACAGGGTCTCTTGTAGCCCAGGTTGGCTTAGTCCCAATTAGTTTCCTGCCCTGACCTCCCAAGCGCTGGGGTCTCAGGCATGCAAGTTCATGCCCCACAGGTCAAATCTCAAAATTAGGCTATAGAGGAGGCCCGTGTTCAAACCTGAGGTGAAGGCTGGATGAGCCAATCAAACATCAGCCACCGTCTGGGCACAGGGACCATTGTCTCAGAGCGAGAGTACAAATTCTGTCTGTGTCTGTTTTTTCCACTTTTCCCTTCCCATCAACCAAGCCGTCTTTGCCTGGTACTGTGCTAGAGCCTAGGGAGACAAATGTGGAAAAACACAGTCCCTTTTCTTGGGGACTATAAAGCTAGGCGGAACAGGAAAAAAGCAAGGAGAAGGACGTGGTCTGTATTGCAAGACTGGTGCTCTTCGCTGCTACGCCCTGCCGCCCGGCCGTTCTTGGACACCATTTCATCGGACCCTTTCATCTAGACTTACCTGTGTCTGAAGACAAAAGTCAGGATGGGAGAACAAGAAAGTGGAGGGCACTCTGTTCAAAATGGGCCTTGTCTCCTGCAGTCCCAGCCAGAACTCCTAGAAGGCAGGGTCAGGAAGGGTCTGTATATATAGAGAGAGGTCACCTGGGCATTCGTGCGTGAGTAGGGAGTGTGCCCACAGCTGCCCACTGGCTGCCGCTGAAGGATCATTTTGTCACATAGGCGAGCCCTATGCTCATGACCCACTCCCTGCTCATTTTCATGTGATCCCAAGGAAGGAAACGAGGGGCGTGACCTCATGAGCACAATGGTTTTAAAGCGTCACCGGACGCAGCTGGGAGAGCTACCTCAGCCTCTACCACCACCAGTGCCCCTCCCCGACACCCACTGCATCCACCGTCCTGCTGTATCATCCTTGCTTGTAGAATCTGGACTCCGTGGGGGCAGCAATGAGCACAACCTACCTTTTTTCCTTCTCTCCCCACTTGCTTGGCCTCACAGGGCCGTTCTTCTTCCTTTCCTGTTCAGGCACCAGGCACCACCCTTAGTATCACAGTCACAACAAATGTGGTCTGCTGTACTGCTAGGGGAGCTGCAGACCTGTCCTAGATAAGGTACTAGTCGAGCCCCCTCCCCCGCCAGATGTGGATACTCGCCGTGATCCTAACAGAGAAGTGGAAACAGGAGCCCTGTCTCAAAAGCAAAAATAAAGCAAAGAGTTTAAAATAACTTCGTGCCATATTTACGGCAAAGATGACAACTAATATCCAAGAATTATTGTGTCTTTTATTTTTTTCTAGAAACTACCCAAGTACTATTTCCCCTTAATTTTCTTTCTCATACTTAGCAGAGATAATTACAGGAGGCAGAATGCACTGTATTTGGCTCTTGGTCATAGTGACCAGCTTAAGAATTTCTACAAAATAGAAATAAATTCACAAATTCAGGAAGGGGAGGGACATAGAAATCTCTTTTATAATTATTATTATGTAATGTGTATGGGAGTTTTGTCTGTGTGTGCCCGGTACCTGTGGAAGCTAGAGGACATGGGATCCCCTGACACTGGACTTATAGATGGTCGTGAGCTACCGTGTAGGCACCATCAATCAAACCCAGGCCCTCTGGAAGATCGGCCAGTGCTCTTAACTGTTTGAACCACCTCCTCAGGCCCAACCACAGACATTTTAATCACTCAATGGCCTTGTGCAATGTTTTCTGGGAACTTCAGTTCATGCAACTGGTCCTAGAACAGTGGTTTTCAACGGGGGGGGGGGGGTCGCACACGACCACTTTGGGCTCACACAACCTTTTGACAAAGATTGCATGAAAAAATGCAGATATTTACATTATGATTCATAGCAGTAGCAAAGTTAGTTATGAGGTAGCAACAGAAATAATTTTATGGTCGGGGGTCATCACAACACGAGGTATTAAAGGGTTGCAGCATTAGGAAGGTTCAGAACTACTGTTCTACAGGGTGAAGGCTGTATCTTACTTGACCTGAATACACTGAACCCAGCATGTTATAAGTTCAAGATTCATTTTACTAATGAATGTGCCAAATAAAGTAACACACAGTCTCTGGTCAGACCTTACTTCTGTTGATGAAACAAAATGATTAAGAAAACCCCTATGTGTATGGATCTGAGTATGTGCATCACAGGCACGCAGTACCTGCGGAGGCCAGAAGAGGAGGCCAAACCCCTCTGGAACTGGGGTTACAGGTGGTTGTGAGCTGCCTGTTATGAATGCTGGGAACCAAACCCTGGAGAAGAACAGGGAGTGCTCTTGACTGTTGAGCCTTCTCTCCCGCCCTAGTTTAAGTTTTTTATTATTGTATTTATTTATTTAATTAGTTTTGTTTTGAGACAGAGTCTCACTGTATAGATCTGGCTATCCTAGAGCTTACCTTGTAGACTAGGCTGGCCTCAAACTCACATAGATCTTCCTGCTTCTGCTACCCTAGTGCTGGAATATAAGGTGTGCGCCACCACCCCGTGGGGGTCTCTACAAACACCAGGGTCAGCAGAGTAATGATCCATGAGAATCTGGTGTGGTCTCCATCATACAGATAGTATAGAGAGCATCTAGGCTATTAGCCACCTCCAGTCCTGGTTGTGGGAGTTTGGTATGGTCTGTTTGAACAGATAGCATAGATCACCAGGCTATTAACTAGCTCCATTCCCAGGGTTTTGGATGAAAACCAGGTTATCTTTCCTGTTGAGGAGACAATTTTCCGTGTTTAACATTCTTGAGTCCCCTAGTGTCAACCTATGAGCACAAGGATCTTTATGTTCCCATCAACTTCCAACTAAGTCTTTTAAACTGTATACCATCTGGGCTTTTCTCTTCATTGCCCTGGTACTCAGTATGTTTTCCTGGTGGTTGTGAAGTCAGGCAACTTCCTGCCTTATTCTCCTTTGTATTGGGATTAAGGTGGTCTCCATATGCATTATGTAGGTATGTTTATATATGCAAACTTGTACATACCTGTAGAAATTTTCATTAAACAGAACCTAAGTTGGGTATGATAGTATGTGCCTGCAGTCTCTGGTACACAAGAGACTATCAGCCTGGGCAGCACAGGGAAGCGACCACTCCAAAACCAAGTACAGCTTAGTCTCCATTTCATTATAAGGAGCAATAATTTAGAGCTTAAGATAATTCCCCATCTTCCCAGAAATTTGAAATTCAAGAGATACCAGGCTGAATATAACCATTCTGGCAAGAATGAGAACACCCCCCCCCCCAAGACAGTGTTTCTCTGTGTAGACCAAGCTGGCCTCGAACTCACAAACACGTACCTGCTTTCACCTCCCAAGTGCTGGGATTAAAGGTGTGTGCCCATTGCCTGGCTTGTGAGCAGTAACAAAGCATGACCTGTAGAATAAGGGAAAGGGCTATAACTAGCTTTAAGACGTGAAGAGCAGAGTTGAGTGGGGAGCTTGGAATGGCAGCTGGGGCACTGCTCCTTGGGTCAATTTGTGATAACTAACAAACAACACAGTAAAGAAACTATATGCTGCAGGCTGTCAAGAGGGCTCAACGGGCAAAGGTACTTGCTTTCAAGGCTAAAGATCTCTGAGGCCCACGTGGTGGAAGAGAATTGGTTCCTGCAAATTGTCCTCTGACCCCCACACAAGTGCTGTGACACTTTCACACCCACAAAATAAATGCAACTTTCAAATTTTTATAAACAAACTATATACATACTTGCAACAAACAAAGGCCAGAATTAGGTTAGTTTCCTCATCCAGCTCAGCTTTGGGAAGCAACAGAGAGCTGGTCACCATCCTTTCACAGATGTGTGAGCCTCAGACTTTGGCTCTTAGAGGCATGGTCTAGACCTCATTTAGCCAGAGCATTTGCACATCAGATTATGAATAGGGCTGGGGTGGGAAGGTTAATGCCATAGAAGGCTTGTCAGGCTGGAAGGCCTGGAAATAAACAAGACAGACAGAAGTTCCGTTCTCAGGGTACTGAGGTAGGGTCTGAGACAGGAGAAGGGGAAGTTAAGACAACAGGATTCGAAGTAAGGGAAAGAGGAAAAGACAGGCCCAGCAAGCCAGCTGTTTTCCAGTCTTCTTCAGAGTGACTAATCCTCCCCTGCTGATAGCTGACAGAATAGAGCACATTTCTTTAATTGGAGGGAGGAAAAAAAGGAAGTTTCAAGAGGCTGAAAGAGAGGCCACTGGTCACTTGGGTGTTTTCCTTCCTCGGTATAAAAACACTGAAAACTTGAGCCCACTCAAGCTCGGCTTCATTCCTAGCACACTGAAACTGCTTTTGGTTTCACTCTAGTGAACACCTCACTGACCCCTTTACTCAACCCCTGCCACACTAGAGGTAGATGGACATTCTCCCTGGCATCTCTCCCTCCACTCTAGCTGTACCTCATGGGCAGTCTCTTTGCAGGGTGATACTTAGGCTTTGGACCTTCACTTCCCCCTCCAGAGAATCGTTCACTCTCAGCACTGAGCTCCACCTATACTGGTGTTTCTTGGCTCTAACTCCAGTTCACCTCTCCCTCTAGCTTGACTCTTGGGTTCAGTTTCCCACTCTGTGTCTGTGAAGAGAGGCTAGCACACGGAGAAAGTTTGCTCTTGTCAATCATGTCTCATGCATTCAGCAAGGTGCCCACCTGTCAGAAACAGTTCATTTCGTTTTTCTCATCATCTCAGATCAAACTGCAAAAACAATGACACCAAAAACTAATACTGAAAAGTTTTTGTTTTTATTTCCAAGATCAAATATTACAACAGGACATTTACATGTATTTATAAAAAAAATGCAGCAGTTAAATTTATAGATAAGAGGTTTCCTTGAGTTTGGTCCCTCTCTCAGCACAGTGAGCTGATGTCTTCAAAAGACTTCTTCATTCCATTCCCCTCCCTTCCCCACCCTGCTGCACCACCCACCCATCCCAACTCAAGTTGCAATATTAATATAAAGCAACTGGGTACAACACATCAAATATTCACAATTTGGTACAGCCCAAGCCAGGAAATCATCAACAGAGAAATCCTGACTTCAGAAAGCATTTGCCTATAGCCTATGTGTGTCCACGGATATGTCACATGCCCTACGTTCAGAGCAAGTGGAGCCTAGTGCGTCTCAGCCAGGAGTTACAGCTCCTGCCTCTGTGACCTTTTGATTTCAGGTTTCCCCCAGCACTTTACAATCACACGAATATCTTGACAAAAACTTCAGTGGATGGTGCAATTTCCCCTTTTCACTGGTCTCAAAGCCTTCATTCCAACTTGAGGAAGCATTCTAACAATAAATGATCTCCTAGTACTGTGGAATTAATGCCCAGAAACCTGAAAACTAAACACCCATAGTAGGAAGCACTGGTCAGAAACACATCACAGGAGCTAGCTCTGTTCACTATTTTCTTGGATTCAGCAACAAGCTGAACTATAGATTAAATTTAGAACCTGTATAAGAATTCAAATCTCAGTAAGACCACCACTTTGTCCAGGGCAAACTGAGCACACAAACAGCCCAGGAAATATCCAAACACTGTGTTAACTGCTAGAAAAACACTTGTAAAGTAAATACCCCAAATTGACTTCAATTACCTCTTGATAAGAAAGGAAGCGAGGTTTGGAAAAAGACATGAGAGACATGTTTAAAAACACAAATAGCGAAGACGTGCCAGAACTGGGCATCCCAGATGATTCTAAATGCATTGTTCAAACTGAACTCTTACAAAACATGCAAAGATCACAAATACTCTGAAAGTTTCCACAAAACAACACTTACTAGAAAAAGGACTTTCTTAACAGTTAAGGAGAAGGGGGGGGGGAGGTCTAGATCCTTAGAATTTGTTAATAACCAAAAGAAAAATTGTTTGGAAAAAAAGAATTCTCAGGAGTGAAAAACATGTCCAATATTCATGTCAACACTTAGAGCACCCCAAAGTCTACATATGATGTCAGTATCAAACAGCGCTCATCTCTCCACATCCAAGGGTGGAGGTTATCTCATAGCTGTCCTGTCTGCTTGCCAGGGGCTATGAATAGCCTTTATGAACTGAAGAGGTAGACCTACAAAATAAGGTCCAAGTCTGCCAAAGCAAAATAAACAGCTCCCATCATAGGCCTGTCATAAATGAAAAGTGGGGGTCACAGGCTACTTTCTCTAATTAGCTGGTAAAGCTGGGAGCTCTCTGGAGGCAGCACAACAACACAGATAGAAGTATATGATTAGCTTCATAAGCCTATTTGAATTTTGGATCACATCATTTAGTATTTGACATTTTATTGGTAAAAAATTGTGAGGAAAGCACACCATAAACTCATTTTGTTGAAAACATGGTATCCAACTGAATATAGGTATTCTGTCATTAGCTTGAAATTCATCCTGGGGACACACACTGTAACATCAGCAATCTTGACACAAGAAAGAAATCAGCACAAGAGTGAATGGTTCCTATCAGTTAAGATTCCCAAACGAGCCCATGAATAAAATTAAAAAGATTCTGAGAAAGGGAAAATTTCAGGCCAGAACTTCTCACTTAAAGTAGTTCCCAATTTTTAATAATCAATAACTGACTCTTGCTATCCTAGATTAAAAACCGTTCTTGGTAATGCTTGGGAATCCAACCAGGATCCTGAATACACACCAGCTCGTAACTTTCTCTCTCTTGGAGACAGGTGATTAGGCATTACCTATTGACCCAGTTTAGCTGGGCTCTTCTTCCCACTGGAAAACCTAAGTGACCTTATAAGGCATATAAAACCTTAGAGCAATTTAATTGCTAGTAGCAGTACCATTATACAATAAAGGTCTGCTGATAACTGCCAAAGAATTAAATGCAATGATGTAACTTCCCGTACTTCTAATGTGGTTGTTCTGAGGCAAATTACTATTACTGGTTCTCTAAAACAAATTTTTTTATTTTTATTTACTTTGTGTGTATGACTGTTTTGCCTAAATGTGTATTTGTGTACCACATGCATACCTAGTGGCCTCAGAGGTTAGACAAGGGCATCAGATTCCCTGGGACTGGAGTTATGGATGGTTGTGGCCTACCACGTGGGTATAGGGAAATAAACCCAGGTCCTCTGCAAGGGCAGCATGTACTCTTAAGTGCTGAGTCATATCTCTGGCTCTGTAATTTCTGGCTTCTTATAAAATCAAACATAAACTCACTATGTAAACTGGTAATTCCACATCTCATTATTTTCCTCCAAAGCAGTAAGACCTGTGTTCATACAGTCACTATTTGTGGTACTGTAGTAGTTTTAATTATAATTTTTGAAAGACTGCATTTAGTTGGAGCTAGAAGAGCATTGTGACGTACAAATACATGCCACAGTAAAGTACAGGTATATTCAATAAAGGATGAGGCAAGGAGAATTTTATTTTTGAGTCAAGATCTTGGAATATAACTTCACACTGACATGGAACTACCAATCCTCCTGCCTCAGCTTCTGATTCAGAAGAGTTGGATCCCCTAGAATTGGACTTAGACAGTTGTGGGCTGCTATGTGATTTCTGGGACTTGAACCCAGGACTTCTGCAAGAACAACTGCTCATCTCTCCAGCCCCACAAGCAAATATCTGTAAACTTCTTCACTATGTTTAATCAAGTAATCAGTGCATATGGAGAACCCAAGTTTATTTTGGGGTTATATGATGTAAGGGCCATATTAAAAACAGCCAAAATTAATCAGGTTAAGCCAGGTGTATTGGCTTGTACTTATAACCCCAGAAGAGCTCAAGGCCAACCTTGAGTGTGCTTTAAACTAAGTACTGGTTTAGCAGTTGTGTCTTTAAAAACCAAAATGTTTAAGAGAATGGTGAGGTTTAGGTAGGGCAACCAAAAATCTATAAATAAACAAAGTGCCTTGGGGGGCTTATTATAGAGTCAGCCATCCTCTTACTTGGAATGTGAATTCTCCTTAGGAAGAAAGAAGCTGTAAAAAGCATATTTGCCTCAATATATTCCCTTCTATATTAATTTATAAAAAATGAGAAGCCGGGTGGTGGTGGCACACGCCTTTAATCCCAGCACTCGGGAGGCAGAGGCAGGCGGATCTCTGTGAGTTCGAGGCCAGCCTGGTCTAGAGAGTTGTGAGTTCCAGGAAAGGCTCCAAGGCTAGAGAAACCCTGTCGAGAGAGAGAGAGAGAGAGAGAGAGAGAGAGAGAGAGAGAGAGAGAGAGAGAGACAGAAATACTATATATTAAAGCTTAGAAATACAACTTTAAAAAACACAGCCAAGCGTATTAAATACTATGACTAATTTTTGGAGAAATTAGGTGAAAAACAGGCATGGTGGCTAACTGTAATCCAAGGAGGACCCAGAGGTTCAATGTCATGTTCAACTACACAGTTACCTAAGAGGCCAGCCTGATCCAGACAGCCAAGACTACTTACAGAAACTGTGTCCTGGGTGAGGGGGAGGTTAGCCTGAACTACATAAATGTTTGAAAACAAAACAAAATAAGACAAAAAGAGAATGGAGAAGAAAGATTAAAAGGTAGTTTCACTTCAGGGATTCATCATATCCAATAACCTAGGCACCCAAGTTCTTTAATGGAGAAACTAACCAAGGCTATAATAATCTCTACTCTTAAAAACAAACAAACCAAATACCTCTTAATTCTAAGCTGTCTCATTAATGGGACTAACATGAAGGCGAGTCTAAAATACAAATAATCATCACTGAAATACTAAATCTTTGTATTATAGGAGAAATCAATATATTAGAATGGTACTCTTTGGTTATTTTGAGGTCTAAAGAACATTCCCACCCCATTCTAAAATGTGAACTAGGGATTCTGAGTTTCACAGTAAACAACTGAAATATCAAGTAAGGCAAACCAATAATGTTGAATATTCATTCACCGCTCAATGGCCTTTAGGTATCTGCTCAAGGACAGTGGTTACTCGGGTGGTAGAGACTGAAAGCAGCAGCCTACTCATTAAGGCTGAAGCTGCTGGAAAAGTGTGAGCCCGAGAGGCTGATTCTTCCTATCCTCATTACTTTTCAAGTTTTAGTTTTACACAAGGCATTACTCATAAATTTGCACTCCATAATTTACTATTAAGGAAGTAAACAAATGATCTCTAAACAGTGTGACACTACAAAGATCCCCTCTACAGGACAAGAACTATTTTAAACATCAGCTTAATGGAAAATTGAAAAGGTCACATCTGCCCAAACCAAGTGTGAATTTCCCAACTTACACAACTGCTGAGCCAGTCTAGCTTAAAGCACACAAATTCAGTTCCAGTGCTGGGGACACCTGCTTCACAATCACATTTCAGTCATTCTTAAAACTCAGTAGGCTTACAGCATTAAGCTTTTAAAAAGTAACTGGCTGTTTCAAGATCACTAGATCTGTATACTGTACTCTGTGATTTCATCATCACAGTGAGGTCTATAAGAGATTGGGTAAAAGATACTTGGACACAGGAAAAAAATGAAAGGAACTGATTAACAAGTACAGTTTTAACACTTTAATTAGTCTGAGAATGATAAAATAAAGGGAGAGACCAGATGCATAATACTTTGGGGATATTTTTATCTGTAAGGGTTATGATTCCAGGCACAGTTCCTCCATGAGGTTAATTCTACTAGTAGTTAACCCTATCCTTCTCCACTCATGTCAAAACTTAAAAACATCTAAAGTTCTCTGACTTGAAAAGACAGAACTAATCTAGTCCGATTCTGTTTTTCTTTTTTCTCGATTCTCTGTTTTTCAAACAAGAAATTCTACAGTCAGAGAAGGAAAGTATTGCCAAGATAACAAGAAGCAAAGTTGTTACCCAAGTGTACTAAGCCCACCAAGATCAAACACCATGAATTGTACCCAAGAAGAGAAATCCTGCCTTAATTTTTCAGGAGCCCTCTGGTATTTTTCTCTAGTGTTCAAGTGAGATTCCTGCTAATTAAACAATTGCTAGTACTGGAGTTTAAAATTCTTTATTACTTGGACAAAGGTCATTACTTACGGATAAACTTAATGCTTCAAATCTAGTATTTTAAAGAGGCAGAGTCAAGAATGAGCCACAGCACCTGGGAGAACACCCCTAATTAAACCTACACTACCCTTCCCTCCTGAGTTCCTATTATCACAGTTCAACCCTGAAAGGGATAACACTCACCTTCCTGCTGTTATCCATGTATGCAGATGATTCCTTAATTGGATGAAACACTTCAAAGAGATCTTAGCTTTCAAAATATTTCTGATGTAGACTACAGACTCAATAGGGTGCTAATACAGTAGAGTAGTATGCAGGACAAAACAAAAAGATAGAAAAACAAAGGTTGTTCAATAACCTATCATGAATAATCTATCAGAAAAGATAATTGTATCTTCTTTTTTTTTAAAAAAAAAATCTTTCTATGGTTTCCATCTATTCTTGGCAAATAATGCTGCAGTTATTTTCCTTACTGAATTATTTTTAAAAAACAATGGATAACTATCTGTTAAAAATGGCATAATTAAGATTTTATAGGAATAGTACAAATCCCACAATCTTGACCCCAACTATCCCTTCCAGCTTTAAGGAAACAAAAACCTTTAGCTGACAAAGCCGAAAAATAAGATGACCTTATTATTATAATATATTATAATAAAGGGACTCCAACTGACATGGGATAACATACCACACAAGGGTGAGAGAACAGACTCTGGGCTCTAATTTTAATGTGGCCCTTAACAGTAATGACATGTTGAACAAGCTGTATGAATTCCAGTTTTCTTCCTCATTTATAAATGAGTAGAATATACTGTGTAGGGATTGCCTGAAGACTGAAGGAGGAAACACACACGTCACACACAGCACACGCTAGCTACTCACAACCAGTCCTGCTCTGCCCTCAGCCGGTACTGTGCTCAAGTTCAGACAGCATTTCTTTCACAAGCTTTCATTCCCTTTCTTTATATGTCACTCTCAAGTTTATCTTGTCCCTTTCCTCCTTACTTTAAAAACTTCTGAGCTATGTCTACTACCTATAGGGAATCACTATGTTTAACTAACACAGACTTCATTTGACTGTCCAGTAAAAGCTCCCCCTTGAAAGAAAAACAACATGCAGAAGAACAAAGACAAACTTCTTACATAAATTAAATACTTGAGCAAGGCAATATTACCATTTATTTTTCTCATGTATATCTATAACTCTTCCTCCCATGGGCCAATCCTGGTCAAAATGAGTAAAGTCCCCCACAGCTCATCATCCTAAGCTTGATATATGTGTGGTGCCTTGTCTCTTAACACACATATATACTCAGTCATCTTAATTTCTCATAAATGGATTTGCCAATGCTAAGTATATTTAAAAAAAAAAAAAGAACTGCATACACCCTCTCACTCTGAGCATCCTGCCTCAGGTTCTCAAGAGAGGTTACTCTATAGAGAACCAAACAGACAGGACAAGAGAACGAAGCAGAGTCCTCGAAGGGACAACTCTTGACTGGTTTGGGCTTTAGCTGGGCTTGTGCTAGGAGTGGAGATGGTGCCAGCATAGCAAAGCTGAGAATGCTCTCACTTTTACCCTGGGGCTCCCGGAGGCTTTAGACTGCTTACCTTGACTATTAGTTTTGTACATTTGAGAGTATACAGCTACATTCCTCAGTCAGTTTTTATTCAAGTTCAAAGCTACAACTGAGGAATTAACATGCTTGCTCAAGAAATCCAAACTGTTGGTTAAGCCTCAAGCGCTATAAAAACACCAAAGTGGTATTATTCAGTCACCAATCTAAAGAGAGAACTTTGACTCAAAAGTATAAATGGAATTGTAATTATATAAATATATTTATAAATATTTATACAATTATATACTTATACATAAGCACTTACACAGACTTAGAAAAAAATGTAAGAACATTAATTCAAAAGGACTCACTGAAAAATAACAGAATTTCCCATGATTTCCTTGAGGAGATACATAACCCATTCTTTAGGGAGGTCCCTCAAAATCCAACCATTAACAACCATATTCTACCATCGCACACTAGAAACATACCACATCCCTTAGCTTATCTTTTTAACCCCTAGTTACCAAGAGAGCAACCTGCACGGACACAGGAACCCAAAGGTCTCTGAGCAATCACAATTTATGTTCCTCAAGTACAAGAATCAATCGAAATCTCCGATTGACAAGACAGGTCAATCCTACAGAAATGGTTTTATAAGCGGTTTCAAGTTTTATTTTCCCACCAATCACTACTGTTCTGCTGGAGCACTCTATCTAAAAGCTCAAGAAAGAACTGAGCACAGAGTAAAGCTGATGATAATATAGTACTATATAAACTCAGGTGGCCTCTTCTAAATAATACTGAAAAAAAAGCTTTCACCAAATACAACTTGAATGTTGACTTGTTGGCAGAAAAAGACTCACATCTGACGGTTACTGGTAATGTCCTTCTTAATAACTGTTGTCTCATGAACTGGGTTTTAAGGTTTTCCTATCAGAGACTTTCAGTTTTAAAATTTTATAGAATAAAAGAACATGAGGAATTTAGTTACCAGAGCACTTTAGAGTATTTCCAATTGGGGGTAAACAAAATCACTATTTCTAACCAAAAGAACATCACTAGCAACTCTCAGCTGCAGGTTCCCCCACCCTGCCCACCCCCCCAACCCCGGGATATACCTAAGTATGCCTTAAGCACATAGGACAATCAATAACCATAGTGTTTACAATTATAAGCCATTGTACTACATGATTATTGAACACCTGCCTTCCTACAGAACACTACAGACTCAGACAATGAAAACAAAGGAACTAATTGGCTGTGCAGGCAAAAACAGCAAGCACCTTCCTACCTAGCCCAGACACAGATGCTCACTAAAGGTTCATCCCAGGACTGGAAAGAGGAATATAACTAATAGAGCAATAATAAAGAAAACTGTCTCAGGCTAGAACACTGAAAGCCACCTTTGCTATACAATACACTAAGCACTCATTCTGCCAATAACACACATCATGGAAATAACTCTTGTAACTGGAAGATGGGAATCTTGGAAGGAAATTTTAAATATGATGAGCAATAGTATAAGGGGATCACCTCCCATATAAACAAAAGCCTGGATATCTCATTAAGAGATCTTCTTATATGAAGAACAATTTCTTTTACCTACCAAAAATGGGGTTGTTTTTAAATTCTGATTCTAGCCATTCTTTGTCATAGGAGTCTATGGTTAATATCACTAGATACCAAAAAGGTGCCACAAAAGAGACCAATTATAACACACATTTCTGCTGCCAGTACTGGGAGAGATCTTATCCTTATCTTTACACTTTCATTTGGTCATATGTGATAAGAAAAAAGTGAGAAAGAGAAGAAAATCACAGAGGAAAAGAGGAGAAAGAGAAGCAGGAGAGACACTAATTGCAGATGACAGAAAGAAATAAAGGAAAGGCAGGTGACTTGCTTGTCCAGCTTTGGCTCTATAGTCCTATGAGCCAAAATGCATACTTAGGGACATGGTATCTCACAGGAAAAGGGAAGAGGGGGTAAGCTGAGAGAGGTCAGGTCATGGTGTTAATTTCTTTCCTGTACAAAGACAGTCTCTTGAGGACAGAGGCCTGCCTCTTGTAAGGTAATGTCATAGTCCAGATGAGAGAGCTTCCTCCGAGGGAAATTGGTAAGAAGTTCAAAACGTTCATTTGGATATCCTTTAGATTGGACGTGCTTCACCAAAGCCTATGAAAAACAAGAGTAAAACAAAACTGTTAGCTGGAAATAACACCATGCTGACTAATTTATAAGAATACTCTATTTTTATCACATTAGGTGAAAGTAAGTTATTCAAATAATCAAAGTTTATTTATAGAAGGCCAACAATGCTTTGTCCTGTGTGCTAGAGTTCTCGAAGAGAATCTGCTGGTCTTAATTCATGGGTAGGGGTCTTGGGTGTCCCTGTTAGTGACAAGATCAGAAACATGTCTTACCTGAGGCCACACATGGCAAGGCATGCTAATCCAGCATTATAAAAATGTCTTGGTGGATCTCTATGAGGTCATGTTGATCTACATTTGAGTTCCAGGCCAGTCAAGGTTACATAGTGAGACTGTCTCAAAAAGAGGAACAAATTCTAGCTGATTTGGAGGTGTTGCGTGTCTGTTATAGTGTATTAAGGGTATTTTTTCTCAGATGAGTGGGGTGGCATACACCTTTAATCCCAGCACTTGGGAGGCAAAGGAAGGCAGATCTCTGTGAGTTCGAGGACAGTCTGGTCTACAAGATGCAGGACAGTTAGAGCTACACAGAGAAAGCTTGTCTCAGAAGAAGAAAAAAAAAAGAGTATTTTTTTTCTCTTCATTTAGGGCTACTACAAAGTTCTAGGGAAGGAAAAGCTCCCTAAGTAGCTTGTCATCCTGAACACCAAATTTTTCAGCAGAAGAGCTGAAGATAAAGGGTGTTGGAGGTGCCTGTGTTCTGGTGGCTTGAAGCCAGGGGGAAAAAAAGTTCAACAAAACTCTTTGGATAAGTAAGATAAATCCATATCCAGTAACTTATGAATATAACTATGTGATATAAAAGAGTCATTGCTAACTTCTCAGTAAATAAACCCAGTCAATATTTATAAAAGATAGCACTGTTTTTCTTCCTCCATCAGGGAATATGTCCTTTTAATCTATATACGATCAGTCATGACCATACAACTGTCTGTTACAATATCAACACTTCCTTCTCTACAAATGCTTTCTTATCAGATAAACATGCACAGTCTTTTCTAGTCATCTTTTCCCTTTGCGTATGGTCTAGTTTTCTACGCAGTTTTGCAACTAAAATTCTCAAAAGGGTGGGCTACACAGCAGTGACCCTTGTCCCTAGGAAACATACACCATGACCCCTGGTAGATAGCTAATTGACATAGATAGTACAAACCTCAGTATATTGACAACAACTAATAATAAAACACTATACATATAAATTTTTATACATACATACATATACACATTTTATATATGCTAGAATTACCTATTTTAACCTTTGGGGCCATCAGTAACTAACAGCTACAAAAATACATACATAGATTTAAAATAAGTATGTATGTATGTATGCATGTCCCCAAGTAAGTAAGTAAGTATGTTTGAATATCCCCAAGACAGGGTTTCTCTGTGTATCCCTGACCATCCTGGAAGTCACTCTGTAGACAAGGCTGGCCTACAACTAAAAGATCCACCTGCCTCTGCCTCCTGAGTGTTGGGTTTAAAGGTGTACACCACCATACCCATCGAAAATGTTTATTTTTTTTTAAATATAAGTTCTACAAGTTTTTGAAGTTACCTGGCCAGAAACCCTGTGGTAACTATAATATTTATTATTACTAAGATGGTTATTGCCTCTCAGGCCTATACATACACCACCTGACTATCCTGGATAAAGGGAATGGTTCATATCACAGGTGACGGAGTGGGATGGTAGGTTTCATTGTGCTATTCAGAATAAAATGTAATTTAAAACTTATGAATTGATTCTGGAATTTTTCATTTAATATGTCTATACCACAGTTTTCTGAGAGAACTAGGAGGCTCTCTTCTCACCTCTGTCCCATTTAGATAGTAATAGCATTCTGGCATGGGCCAGCAACTACCATTTGTCATTCTTCAACTTTCTGGTTACAATTCCAATGTCCCCAAAGGCACATGTTCTGAGCTTTTAGGATGTGGGGCCTGGCTGGCAGAGTAGGTCACCCACAGGCAGGCCTCAAAGGTCCTATCCACCCCTCTGGCTCTGGTGTAGTCCTCTACTTCCTGATCCACAGCCACATGAACAAGTCTCCAGCTCCCATCACTGGAGAGGGAGTCTCTGCTATGCTCTCACTGTCATGCATATCCTGTTTTGCTGGGATGAAATTTCTTGGAAACCATGAGCCAGAAGAGACCCTTTCCTTCCTTAAACTGTTTGTTTTTTAAGTTTTTTTGAGACAGGGTTTCCCTGTATAGTTTTGGTGCCTGTCCTGGAACTAGCTCTTGTAGACCAGGCTGGCCTCGAACTCACAGAGATCCGCTGCCTCTGCCTCCAGAGTGCTGGGATTAAAGGCGTATGCCACCACTGCCTGGCCTGCCTTAAGTTGTTTCTGTCAGGTATTTTGTTGTAGAAATGAGAACAGTGACTAACACCAGGCATAGTGACAGGCTAGGAATGGGGACCACCCACAGGTTATGCAAGTAAGACCAAATTTCTCATCTAGCACTTTAGGTCTTTAGAAGCTCCCCGGCATGTGCTGTCATGTGCAAACCAAGGCGTAAACAAAACTTACAGGTATATAAAAAGGGGAATGGAATAAAATAGAGACTCACAAGAAAAAAGTATGACAGATCACAGAAGATACCAAAGAATCTTGGTTCCTAACTACTTTGTAGTAACAGACGCTACTAAGAAACCCAAGATCCCCACTATAGTCTTCACATAAAACCACTACTTCTTTTCTAGAAGTCAGTGTTCACCCACACAAACACAGAACTGAAAAGCCTTTGTTGGCCTGTGATTTGCCTAAAAAAATGAGAAGAAAATAAACTAATTAAAAATAAGACAGCAGCTCATATTTATAATTGAAACACTTGGAAGGCTAAGCAGAAAGACTATTTTAAGTTCCAGGCTAGCCTGGGCTGTGAAGTGAGACCCCCACCTCAAATACCACCACAGCCTTAATTCTAGCATTTGGGAAACTGAGGTAGGCAAATCTCCTCTGAGCTCAAGGCTACTCAGGGCTATATACTGAGACCCTGCACCAAAACAAAAACAAAAAATCATGTAAAAAAAAAAAATCAGGGCTGGAGAGATGGCTCAGTGGTTAAGAGCATTGACTGTTCTTCCAGAGGTCCTGAGTTCAATTCCCAGCGACCACATGGTGGATCACAATCATCTGTAATGAGATCTAGTGCCCTCTTCTGGTGTGTGGGCATACATGGAGGCAGAATGTTGTATACATAATAAATAAATAAATCTTTAAGAGAAATCTTACACAACAAACCCTCTCCCAAAAAAACCTTAGACTCTTGACAATGAAGTTTTGATTTAGATATGAGATACCCTACATCTACAATCAGAGAGTTGAGCTTGACTTCAATTTTCTGTGGTCTCTAGGATAAGGGTGTCTGCTTAGCATGCATTAAGTTATGGGTTTAATCCCTAGCACCACGAACAATCAGTTTCTTTGCTTCAAGCAAATGTTTCAGTGAGATAAACTCACCAGCAGTTTAGCTTGCTCTGGAAGAGTGATCTGCTCCCTTTTTCCATCTGGGTACCGTAGCATTAGCTGTGCTTTTGGTCCTAAGGAAGAGTTATACACACATAGATAGGCGTTTAATATCGGAGATTAACTAAAACAAGTTATTTAGTACACTCAAGTTTAGCAAGTAACCCACCATTGACATCTATCCCCTCCACTATTCCATCTGACTTTTCGGGTGACATCTCCAAGAGCTCAGGGTCCATAGCTGGCAACCCTTGATGGTTTGTGGCTGTGCCAGGCTCAGTTCTGGCTGGGGGCTCCATCAGTGGCCTTCTGTTCTCCTCTTTTCTATGCCCCACATCTTTATGAGGAGACTTTCTGGACTTAGCAAGATTCTCTACCTCCTCTTCCTCATCAGAGCCACAAACCGATATGAATTCCTCACTGCCAGAAAAAAGTTCCGATTCAGATTCTTCATCTGAGCGGTTATCCTGCTTTGCCTGTGCTGAGTCGAAATGTGTCTCCTGCAGAGAGGCTCTGATGGCGGCTTCCAGCTGGCTGTCTTCACTGGCATCTATGAGGCTCTCCTACGAGGTGTGCCAAAACACGGGTGGAAAGAATAACAGTTAAACCAAAAACCACTTAAACAGGATATAAAAAACATACAGTCAACACGTCACCATAATTTTCTGCCGAAGCAGAATCTGTCTCTTGTACAATGTGAGGCCAAGGACTTTTATTAGAAAGTAAAACTGGAATGGCTACTTTAAAGGCAAAAGTAAAAGACTATCATTAAACTGGATATGATGGCACATACCTATAATGCCAGCATTCATGAAGGGGATTGCTCAAAGTCTGAGGCTAGCCTGTGCTACAAAATGAGACACTGTTTGAAACACAAATAAGTACACTAATGTTTTAAGCCCAGGCATTTTTGGCATCAAAATGAACAAAGCCAAGAAAATAGGTTATAATTCTTTTGTTTAGAAAAATAACTTTATTTATTTATTTTAAAGATTTATTTATTATATATACAGTGTACTTGTCTGCTTGTATGCCTGCAAGCCAGATGAGAGCGCCAGATCTCATGGCAGATGGTTGTGAGTCATCATATGGATGCTGGAAACTGAACTCAGGACCCCTGGAAGAGCAGCCAGTGCTCTTAACCACTGAGCTATCTCTCTAGTCCCTGAACTCAAGTTTTAAATATAAAGCCAAACTACTATTCTTTAATAAGATGACTAAACATCAGAAAATGTCTACTTTGCTTATCATTAAATACAATGATTCTTAGCATTCAAAACAAGAAAATATCATTACCAAGATATGACATGGTGGTCTGCCATACCAATCCTCCCAAGATTTAACACTTGGGAGGCTGAGGTAGGAAGTTTGCAAGTTTGACTTCCAGCATGCAGCATACAGTGAGATCATTTCTCAAAAAAAAAAAAAAATCATCTAAGGGAAAACATATTCGGGGTATACATGGACAGATTAAATTCTTGAAAGCTTAGTAATAAAGATTTTCATTATGATAACGAGAAATGCATATTCCCTTTATTTATTTATTTATATAAATTATTTATTTATACCTCTATGTATGTGTACAGCTATGCAGCTAGTATGTACACATTTAAGTCAGAGAACCAACTGGCAGAAATCTGTTTTCTCCTTGCACCACAAGGATTCTAGAGATTACTCAGGTCATCAAGGTGGGAAGAAGGTGTCTTAACCCACTGAGCCATCTAACAGCCATAGAATTGCAAGTTTCTAATATTCTCTTGTTACAAGTTTTGAATACCACCGATTTTTACCTTTTTATTGGGGGTTGAGGGTTCAAGACAGGGTTTTTCTGTGTAGCTCTGGCTGTCCTAGAATATTGCGGACCAGGCTGGCCTCAAACTCAAGAGTTCAGAGATTGACCAGCCTTAGCCTCCCAAGAGCTAGGATTAAAGGCATGTGTCCACTGCCCACACAGATTTCATTTTTAAGTCACAAAATATGGACCACGTGAATGGAGCTAATTTATGCATGCATACCATGTACATGCCTGGTACCTACAGAGTCTAGAAGGCACTGATCCTTGGAACTGGGGCTACAAGTGGTTGTGAGCTGTCTGGTGTGGGTACAGGAATCTGAATCAGGGTTTTCTAGAAGAGCAAGTGCTCTTCTTCATGGAGCCATCTCTCCAGCCTAGTATTATGATTTTTTTTTTTTAAAGAGTCTTCTATAGTCCAGATCGGCTCAAAACACACTATGTGGCTCAGGATGATCTTGGAACTCTCAATCCTTTTCCTACTGCCACATAATAATTTTTTATAAATTAAGCCAGACATAATGGGGACACCTTTAATCCCAGCACTTGGAGGCAAAGGCAGGTGAATCTATGTGAGTTCAAGTATAGCCTGGTCTACAGAGTGAGTTCTTGGACTGGCAAAACTACATAATGAGAAACCTTTCCTAAAAAATAAATGAATAAAAATAAAATTAAGTCTAATTTATCACCATATAAAGCAGGTAGACTTATTTATGGGACAGCACCAGCTTAAGTAACTAAATTTGCAATAACACTGTACAGCAGGGAGACAGCAGATAGCACCAGGTTCCTATTGTTCCTATCCAATACTCACTCTTCCCTGGGATTCTTTACTTACAGAACCCAAATTATGGTGATAAACAAAAACATCAGGGGTCAGAGAGTTGGTTCAGATTAAAAGAACCCACTATTCTTTTTAGAATTTTATTTTTATTATTTTAATATGTGTGTGTATGTATGTGTTCGCACAAGTGTAGGTGCCCACACACATCAGACCTGGAGCTGACTATGAGCCACCTGATGTGGGTGGGTACCTGGACCTGAACTCAGTTCCTCTGGAAAAATAGTATATGCTCCCACTATTCCCACTACAATCAGCAACATTTGACAGTAATTACTCAGCCATCTTTTCAATAGCGTCTCATCAAGAGCCGGGGGCTTTTGGTGAAGGTTTTAAACCAAAAGGCAAGGCTTTTCTCCATTATTGCTTTGTGAATAAAGTGGCTGTTTCTTGCTGTAGATATTTGTTGTAGCTGACTCCCCTTCTGTTACAAATTTATGAATTAATTTCCACAGTTCTGAACTATTTCCTATGCTTTTGGGGCTCACTGATCGCATTCCCCTAGCTACATGTGAAGAGTTTCACACTGCCAGGCCTTTGTTCCTCTCTCCTAGGTAAAGGCAGAGGGCTGCCTTCCTGCAATTATCTTTATCTACAGGCATTTTGCCAGTGTTTATGGTCCAGGTAAGAGCATTCCATTTAAGATGTTCACAGATATCCAAGGACACAGAATTACTACTTGTCCAAAGCTGTTGATTCACAGTTGCTCAGACAGAATAAGCATGCCCTGGTTATACCCCACTTAAAAGATTCCTAACTCCTTACACCTTAACCTCAGCTTACTGATGATTTTAGTTCAGGAAACTTACTGCTTGTGTTTCCTTTCTTTCTTTCTTTCTTTTTTTTTTTTTTTTGGTTTTTTTTTTTTTTTTTTTTTTTTTTTTGGTTTTTCGAGACAGGGTTTCTCTGTGGCTTTGGAGCCTGTCCTGGAACTAGCCCTGTAGACCAGGCTGGTCTCAAACTCCCAGAGATCCGCCTGCCTCTGCCTCCCGTGCGCCACCATCGCCCGGCTACTGCTTGTGTTTTATAGCAGAAAAGATAATTAACTGTAACCCAGAGAAAAACTTCCTTCCCATTGGCACCACAGACCCAGAACATCTGTGATCAGAATGGCTGATAACAGCATACCCTGGAACTGATAATATAGAGGCCAGGATCTCCTCTTTGCTTCTACCACTTAGATCAGTAAGTGTAAATGCCAGACCTAGACCCATAGAAATTATAGTGTCTTATGAATATGCTAATCAGATCAGAAACCATTAGCTTCCTCCTGACTGTTTACATGGGTTACCTGGTTACACAATATCCTCTATGCATGCTGGGAGAAAAAAAAAGGGGGGGGGCGTGCTGATTTTATTGAAAATAAACCTTTATTTTATTGAAAATAAACCTTTAACCACCTAAAAATGTAGTGTAGCATACTAGCTTTCCCCTCTAGAATTCCCTGATGATTTAATTAATTTCTTAACTTTCTCCATTAAGGAGTTCACCAGACGTACACTAAGCCACTCCCACCCTGAACTGACAGCCACAGATGGACGTCTGTGTGTGAAAACTCCTTTCTGATTTTTATGGGGCAAAAGAATTCCAGTCCTGAAAACCTGCTAGGGCTGGGTAACTGCTGGTTATATTACTGGGAATGTTTTTAACAAGTGGGTTAAGGAATAAGAAAGAAGAGCTGGGCGGTGGTGGCACACACCTTTAATCCCAGTACTTGGGAGGCAGAGGCAGGCGGATCTCTGGGAGTTCGAGACCATCCTGGTCTACAAGAGCTAGTTCAGGTCAGGCTCCAAAGCTACAGAGAAACCCTGTCTCGAAACGCCCCCCCCCCCCCAAATAAAGAAAGAAAGAAAGAAACATGGATAGAAAAAAATGTCCTGTGATTAGTTTTCTTAACCCTTAGATTCTAGCTCCTTTTGCTTATTGTGGTGTCTTTAATTGAATCCTGAGAGGGATTCTTAAGAGCTGGTCTCTTGAAGACCTCATTATACTCTATCTTTCCAGCCCCACCCTCTGCTCTTGCAAAAGACAAGGGTTTAGTCCCTAAGACCCACATCATGGTTCTCAACCATTTGTAACTTCAGTTCCAGGGGATCCATCACTCTTGTGGCCTTTAAGGGCAGTGCACACATGTAGGACAAATACACACATACAGGCAAAACATTTATACATAAAGAATTTTATAAATAAAAAAAAGGTCTGATTAAGAAAGTCCATGTACTACTTGCTCTATAGTATTTATTTGCTTGTTTTAGTCTATGACTTGTTTTGAGACAGGTCTCACTCTATAGAATAGAATTCAATATATAGTTCTGATTGTCCCCAAACTTGCAATAGTCTTCCTGATTCAGGCTCTTGGGTGCTGGGATCAGACATGTGATACCCTGCAAACTAAGAATAAAAGGAATACGGGCAGGAGATGGAGGCATAAGTATCAGGAATTCGAGGAAATCTGAGCCCATTGGACAAGATCATAATCTGGTCCACAAAAAGGAGGAAACCTCAGTAACTTCCTAAAGTACATCTTAATAAACATATGGACTAGAGAGGCAATCAGTGGTTAAAGAGCTTGCTTCAAAAGTGGGAGGACTATTGCTCAGCTCTCCAGAACCCCTATAAATGCTCGGTGGGTGTAGCAGTCTGGCTATAATTCTAACATTCAGTAGGCGGAGACAGGGGCTCTCATAGCAAACTGTCTAACCAGATTAGCCATATTTATGAATCTTGGGTTCAACTGAGACCCTGCCTCAGTGAATAAGGAGGGCAAGGAACGATTACACATACACACACACACACACACACACACACACACACACACTCACATACACAAGGACATACACATACACATCACACAAATACAGATTTTAAAAGGAGTTATATAACCAGACAGAGGAACTTCTAGTGGTGAGACAAGTCTCCAGGAGCCAGGAAGGAGCACTAAGAGATTTCAACAGTCAGATTAGTGCTGCTGTTGCTACAGTTACAGAAACTTCTTTCTGCAGTGGACAATGGTAACTGCAAAGACACATAAGGGGTTAAAGTGTGGAGAATAAATGTTGAATGGAACTATAGCATTCATAGCAGCCTCTCCACAATTCAGGAAATGTCATGGAAGCGAAGGCAGAGAGAATGTAAGATGTGAAGGATGGGTGGAGGGACATTTTCTGGGCGTGACAAAATTGAATTCCTGAGTGCAGTGGCTGTGATCACCTGTATAAATCCTGCACAAGATGGACCCATCAACACCCTGGCATGGAAAGAACTTACAAAGGCACAACCTCTCCCTAAAATAAACAGTTAATGTTTGCTGGGAATGGAAAGGGCGTTTTCTTTAGGAGTGTAGCCACTGGTAAGGTGTCCATGCTCCTGTAAATGATTTCTCACCCAAGCTTCTATAAGTAAATGAATAAAAATATGAAACTCTATATACATATACAAACATATATGCATGCATACATATCAGTCAACAGCAACATGTGTCATAACAGCAATTCAAATTAATAAATTTGTTTATTGAGGTTGTACTCTAAGGTCAATACAAAAAAAAAAAAACAACAACCCAACAACAACAAGAAAATACTGCTGGGAGAAATTAAAGACACAAAAATAGGGAGATAATAGGGAGATATTTTCCATACTACCAGACCTGAAGATTCAATTATTAGATGTCCATAGAACTAGTGTATTCCAATTAAAATTATAGTAAGTTTCCTTGTATTAAATAACAGGTTGGTTCTAAATTTGTAAAGAAATGTGAAACGCCCAAAGTAAACAGGAAAATTTCATTTATTCAATTTAGGTACTCACTTTAGATATGGGCTATTTCTTTTATCACTATACCCTATAGACTTCTATAGATACACAATTTTATTCTCATTGCCATCAAAATTATAACCAAGGTAAGACTGCCTTATCTTTGAAGCACTTTTACTTGAAACTAATTAGCAAAGATGTCTGCATAATAACTATTACAGAGATTAAGTGTAAAAATAAACTCTGGGAGAGCCAGGGAAACCCAGGACCTAAAGCTATCTCACCAGTAATAATACTTAAATTGTTCCTTTCTTTTCTTTTTAGGTCTCATTTTTATTCTTTAATTATTTATATATGTAGGGGGTTATATACATGTATTATGACTTCACTGAGTAGATGAAATTCTTCTGCAGAAAACTATCAAAAAAGTAAGAAGTATCTAAGTAGTACAGTCAGAAACACTAACTGGTCACTACTTACGTTATTAAAAGTACCATTTTAAATCAAATGTTTCACATAAAATGCTGACATACAGGTATATTCAGTCATCTGTCACTTATACTTACTGATCGGGCACATTTTTTGGGGGGACTGCTAGAAAGTCCATCCAGTTGCCCATGTTCACCCAGAAACCCTGTTACTTGGTCCAAGAAAGAAGACACATCTAATTGGTGCCACTCTACTAGCTTCTGACCTAAAAATTAAAAAAAAAAAAAAATGAAGACATGTAAATATAAAATCAATAACCATACTCATTAAATAATTGCCATATGAATAGTGAACATTTGTTACAAATTCACATCCCCATCCTTCAGTTGCTGAAGTCACAGAGTATCATCATAACCTACCAATAACATCAATTATAACTCATTGATAGAATCAATCATGACAGGAAAATTATCTTATTTGCTGGCACCACTTACAGCAATTTAGGAAGAAATTCAAACAAAGAAAAATTTAAATAAAATATAATAATGAAACCAGCTCACCCTCTAGTGCTCTAGAGGAAAACAACCAAAACTTAAAATCTTAAGATTTTATTATAATAGAAAAACCTAGGGAGACCCTTATAAAGAGATAATCCTATCAGTTTTCCTGAAAAAAGAGCAGAACTGTACAAACACAAAATACTGTTTCCCTTCAAGTTGCCAGAAATAGACTCCCAAAATACACACATTCAAGGATGTTTACATAATTATGTAATAAAAAGAAAAACTTTCCTTAACTGTTACATTGCTAAAGCCAGACCCAATCAAATATTAATCAACTATTTACGTATGTGAAAAACAAATGATAGTTTAAAGGCTGTAATTGGATGTAACTTACCTGTCCGTGGGTCCAAGATGGAAACATAGGGGAAATCCCCTAATTTATAAAACTGTATGTATCTCTGACCTTCCTCACTGTCATGATAAACCTGTTAAGTCAGCAATATAAAAAGCAGTGTTACCCACTAACAGCAATGGATTCCCCAAATAAGCCTTTGAAAAACATGCTTTGTTTTCATTCCCATGTGAAAAGGGAAGTAAGATCAGGTATGGACTTACTCCCGGTCCCTTCTAAAAACTCATTATGAACAACAAACCTATTCCTCCTCCTTCCTCACTTCAAAAGAGGTACTATTTTTTTCTTTTCAAGTATTTGTCCATCTATGAGTTTTCTCTTTGTTTGGTTTGGTTTATTTTGGAGACAGGATCTCACTATATAGCTCTGGCTGTCCTGGAGTTTACTATGTAGACCAGGTTGTCCTTGAACTTACAGAGAAAGGCATTCGTCACTATGCCTGGCATAGAAAACGTATTTTAATAAATCACAATATATTAAGATTATAAATTTGAAAGCCCAACATTTTATTAGGCAGAGATGTTCAATATTTGAATAAAATAAAAGAAATTCTATCATTAAAAACAATCACAGAGCTAGGCAGTTGTGGCACACACTTTTAATCTCAGCAGCACTCTGAGAGGCGGAAGCAGGTGGATCTCTGCAAGTTCAAAGCCAGCCTGGTCTACAGAGTGAGTTCCAGGACAGTCAGGGTAACACAGAGAAATCCCGTCTTGAAAAAAACAAAAACCAAACCAAACCAAACCAAAACCTCAAAAAACAACAATCTCAGAGGCCAGCAAAATGACTCATCAGGTCAAAGTGTTGCAGCACAAGTCTGACCACCTGAGTTTGATCCCCAGAATCTATAACGGAAGGAGACAACCAATTTCCAAAAGTTATCCTCAATCCTCCACACCACACAGCCATCCAGTATATACACGCAAATTTATAATAACAATAGTTAAAAAATAACCAGAAATCCCACTGGATTTATCAGATTGTAAAATACAAACAGGTAAATTAACAGCATCAATAGTAATATATCTTAGAAAAGGAAAATATTATGTTTACTTTGTTATTTTCTGTAACTTTTTAAAAACTAGAAATTGAAACTGGGTCTATCTAGGCTATAATCCCCAGCTACTCAGGTGACTGAGGTCAGAGGATCACAAGTTAAAGGGCTACTTGGAGTGGTTTCAAAAGCTCAAAAGGAGTCGACCCTAGTGGCACACACCTTTAATCCCAGCACTTAGGAGGCAAAGGCAGCTTGATCTCTGAGTTCAAGGTAAACCTGGTCTACAGAGTGAGTTCCAGGACAGCCAGGACTATACAGAGAAACCACATCTGGAAAAAAAAACAACTAAAGAACTAAAAAGGAGGATGGAGATTATCTTAATGGTGGAGTACTTGCCTAGCTTGCAGGAGGACCCAGGTTGAATCCCCAGCAGTAAGCCAAACAAAAAAAAACTCCAACCAAACAAGAAAAGTGAAACAAAAGTAAAGTTAGAGGTAAGCTACCTAGTTTAACTTAACTAGATAATTTACACGAAAAGATATTACATCTGAACACGGAGGAATATTAAGCTAAGAACGCACAGTAAAAGAGTAGCAAACTCAAGCTAAAACACAAGGTTTTTTTTTTTTTTTTTTTTTTTTTTGGAATTTTCGAGACAGGGTTTCTCCGTAGCTTTTGGTTCCGGTTCTGCGGTCCTGGAACTAGCTCTTGTAGACCAGGCTGGCCTCGAACTCACAGAGATCCGCCTGCCTCTGCCTCCCGAGTGCTGGGATTAAAGGCGTGCGCCACCACCGCCTGGCTAAAACACAAGTTTTAATGTTTTTCCAAAGTTCTAAAATGTTTTTCACATGGCCATTTGTCTTGTATGGATATTAAATAGTTGAAATTGACTAATTCCAAGCACTAAGCATGAATTACATACTATATCTTGAGAATTTAACACCCACAGATCCTGACATTAAAATGTTAATGTGTTTTATATATATATATAAAATCTATTGATTTAAAGAATATCAATGTTGATTTCACCTGTTTCCTCTGAACCTTTTCAGATGGTATTTAAGGTTTCTCTACTGAACTGTACAGCTGTAGACCGACTGTCAGATGCTCCTGAAGCATGAGCATCACATATTTAACCATCACAGGTAACTTATGTCATAAATAAATTCACTTTTCCTAGTTTGTAACACCATTCCTCCTCAACAACATCCCACACTACAAAAATATTACCAAATTTTTAATTAACTGTCCTTCTCACCTGCCAGAAAATGAAATGTTCCCGGATAATATTCTTCACAGCTTCATTGCTCCACACATCACGGTTGAGGCACTGGCATGCAAAGTCTTGTACATTTTGAATGTTTATCATCAGCCATTTATTCTGCATCTGGCCACACTCTTTGGCCTGTAAAAGTAAAGTTAAACATTGATTTAAAAAAAAAAGTCTCTAGTCAAGCAGTGGTGGCACACACCTTTAATCCCAGCACTTGTGCGGCAGTGGCAGGAGGATCTCTGAGTTTGAGGTTAATCTGGTCTACAGAGACAGTTGCAAGAGAGCCAGGGCAGAAAAAGTCAATTTTAGGAGCGTCATTCCTGATAGAGTGACCATGCTCCAGTGGATGTTCCATGCTCCCCTGGACCATTCTGTGTAAGGGTAGCACAAATTGGTCTTGGTGGTTTTAGGTGGGAAATGTGAAGCTGGGAGGAGTTAGGGGATTAGGGAATGAATATGATTAAAATACTCTGTAATGAATTCTAAAAGGGTGTGGGTGGTTCACACCTTGTTGTAAACTGGGTAGCAGCACAGGGTAGGCAGAGGCAGGTGGAGTTCTGAATTCAGAGCTCCAGGACAGCAAGGGCTATAGAGAGAGACCCTGTCTCAAACTCTGTTGCCAAAATAAGAAAGAAAAAATAAAATATCAAATAATTAATAAATAAAATGATATCTAGAGGCTGGCGATATGGACCAGAATATAAAAGTACTTGACACTCTTACAGAGGAATGGAGTTTGGTTCCCAGCACCTATCCCCAGTGGGTCACATCTCCAGAGGATCTGATGCCCTCTTCTGGTCTCAGGGGACAACATCATGCAATGCATATATATGCATACATATACATATAAATAATAAATCTTTAAATGACATAGTTTTTTTCATTTATACATTATTATTTTGCATATACATAATCCTTGTGACAGCTCTCAAGCTGAGTGAATTAGGAGAAATCAGAACTGGTGGAATTGCACTTTAGAGAACACAGACCTTTAGGACTGAGAAGAAAGGCCCACCCAGAAGTTGGCTGGCACCAGCCACTGAATGAATGAAAATTGGAGGAAATAAGTGTGTACATCCCTGTAAGACCCTTTCTTTCTCAGTGTACACATGTGGCCATTGTCATCAAACTTCAGCTCTCCAGGGAGTTTCTAGGCCTTCAACACCAGACAGAATAGCTGAAGCAACCTACTTTTTGGATTGAGCAGCTCAAGTATATATACAGTCACTGTTGGAACTACCAGTGAATATCATTAAGTCAACCTAGTAAATCCCTTATTTTTATTTTTTTTTCTGTAATACTATGCACAATAGTCTTGATTCTGCTCCTTTAGAGAAAGGGAAATACTGGCTTTGACCTAACTGTTGGAACCCCACATTCAACAGTCTTACCAGCCAGCAAATCCTCTCTGAAAATACTAAATATCTTGAAAATGTGATAGTTTTGTTTTATTTACTTGTTTGTTTGTTTGTTTTTAAAGGTTTGTTTAATTTTATATGTTTGAATGCATGTTTATGAGTTTATGTACATGCTTGCTATCTGTGGAGACCAGAAGAGGGTACTGGATTCCCTAGAACTGCAGTTGTAAGTCACCATCTGGGTGCTGGAAACTGAACTGGATCCTAATGCTCTTAAGTGCTAAGCCATCTCTCCAGTTCCTACTGCTGTCTTCTCAATGACAGTCATTATCACTGTGGTGAGAAGGGAACATATTCCCCTAGCTTTGGTTAAAAGTTAGCAGACAATCAAGTAAACTGCCCCAGGAAATTTTCCTTTGAGTTTAGAAAAGATAAAGCTAGGAAGAACTGGGGAAAGAATATATTTTGTAATTGGATACAGATATATTTCTAATCTCCCCAATACTTACCTGAAACTGCTGTGGGAGCACATTCTGCTCCTTCAGCCAATAGCCTTTAAGATACCAGCCCACCTGGGCATGGTCTCTTATACTGTAAGAGCAGCTGTAAAGTATGTGCCCTGCTCTCTTGCATCTGGCTGCTAGACTCTGTTTTTGTTCATGCAGAGAACTGTTATCTAGGACAGTGATCTGTAAGTTTTCCCTTAAATAAATAACCCTTTCATTATTCATAATTCTGAACTGGTGTGGGATATTTTGTGACTTCCATCATCATGAAACCACAAATAACAAAAAATATACACAAATTTAATGTATTATCCATTCTAACTAAGCACTGCCACATGGAGACCAGACTTTTACAATGTCAAATATGACAGGAAAAGTAGTTCAAAATTCTTTTGAAGTCCCTTCTTCACAATTTCATGGATAATTTATTTTTACTATAAACCAAGAATTATCACCCTTCTAATTATAGGAAACATTTTATAGTTTGTCTATGATATACCCAATTGCCAACATCACTAGTTAAGTTTTGGGTTACAATTATGGAAAATAAGTTATTTAAACACAAGCATTAAGTTATTACAAACTGAAGCTGGGCAATGGTGGCACATACCTTGAATCTCAGTACTCGGGAGACAGAGGCAGGTGGATATCTGTGAGTTTGAGGCCAGCCTGATCTACAAGAGTTTGTTCCAGGACAGACTCCAAAGCTACAGTGAAACTCTGTCTCAAAAAAACCAAACCAAATAAAAAACAAACAAAACAAAAACAAACAAACAAAACAAAACAAAACAAAAAAACAACCAAACCAACCAAACAAACAAAAAAGATATTACAAACTGGGTTGGGTGTGGTGGTGCACACCTTTAATCTCATAACCAGGTGGCTCTCTGAATTCGAGGCCAGTCTTGTCTAAGAGCTATATAGTGAGACCCTGCCTCAAAAATGAAAGAACTACGCCTTTAATCCCAGTTGCTTGGGAGGCAGAGGCAAGCAGACTCTCTGTGAGTTCAAGGCCAGCCTGGGCTCCAAAGCTACACAAAACACCAAAACCAAACAATAAACAAACCACCCTCCCCCAAAAAACCCAAATAAATAAAATGAAGCTATTATAAGTTGAGCAACTTTTTTTGTTTTTGTTTTTCCAAGACAGGGTTTCTTCTCTGGGTAGCCACAGGTGTCCTAGAACTCAATCTGAAGATCAGGCTAGCCTTGAACTTAGAGATACCCCTGCCTTGGCTTCCCTAGTGCTAGGCATGCACTACTACCACCCCAGCAAGTCGATCAATTTATATTAGCCCAGATCAGCTAACTAAATGATAAACAGGTAGGTAACAGATATTATATAGATACATTGTCCTGAGTAGATGGCAAGATTTCATCACACTACTTAGAAGAGTGGCTAACTTAAAACATACCAATTTTCGGCCAGGTGGTGCACACCTTTAATCCTAGCGCTCTACCCAAGAGGTAGAGGCAGGTGATCTCTGTGAGTTCAAGGCCAGCCTGGTCTACAGAGTGAGTTCCAGGACAGGCTCCAAAGAAAACAGAGAAAACCTGTCTCAAAAACAACCACAATAAAATACCATAGCAACTTTTATGTCTGGAACTTTCCATTTAATATTTTGAGATTTCAAGTAAGTTAAACTTAATCAAAACTGAAGATAAGGGGTAGACTACAATATAGGCAAAAGAGAAACACAAATAATTTATAAATGGTTAATAAACATTATACTACATACTTAGCAATAGTAAAAGATACATACATTTACAAAACTAAGTTTATAAAAAGAAGCTTTCAAAGTGTTAGAGGTTCTACAATGATGCCACACAAGGCTAATCAAAGGCTCTCAAAATAATCAACCTCATACACTGTTGTTAAAAATGTTAGTCATTTACTGCCAGTAAAAATATAACCCAGTGCAACCCTTAAGTATATTATGCATAAATAGTTAGGATACCAATTCTCTATATACTGAAAAAAATAAAATTGAATTAAAAAGGCATGGTGGCACACAGAGGAGGTAGAGGCAGACCCATCTCTGATTTTGAGGCCAGCATGGTCAATATACTATGGCCAGGTTACATGGTAAGACCCTGTCTCAAGAAAGAGGAAAGAGGGAAAAAAAAAAAAGACAAACTAAAATTGTAAACCAGTTCATAGGTTTAGTATACAATCTCCAAAAACTTACTGTTTCAAAGCTGCCTTTGTGCATCAAGTCAATTGGGGGCCGGAACAGATCTGCAAGGGTGGTGAGTTTCTTATCTATTGCTCCTCCATTTCTTAATTCCTGTTCTTGCCTAACTGCAATACAGAAAGATGGGAAAAGTTTTAATTAGTCATAAAATGGAAGTGTTAAATTCCATAATAAACAAAAGACCTTATATTGACTGAAAGAATTACTGAACAGTATGCTTAGTTTCAAGAAGCAAATGACTTAAAAAAAAAAATACAAAGAGGGACAAAAAAATATTCCAGGAGTTTGCGTTGTTCCCTAGCCTAAGGAAAAAAGTAGAAAATTAAATTAGTTACAAATAGTCCTGTTGGGCCAGGCCTGGTGGTGCAGACTTAGGCTAACACAAGAAGTTCAGTCAGGTGTGGCAGCACCTGGCTTTAACCCCAGCACTCAGGGGACAAAGGCAGATTTCTGTGAGTTCAAGGCTAGCCTGTTCTACAAATTAAGTTCCAGGATAGTCAAAGTTGTTACACAGAGAAACCCCATCTCAAAAAACAAAAAACCTGAACCACAGAGTGAATTCAAGTCCAATCTGAACAACCTAGTAAGAAACTGTCTGTTTCACAGTAAGAAGGAAAGGCAGCTGAGCTGGAGATCTAGCTCAGTACTTATCTAGTACACACAGGCCCCCATTTAGTGCCCAGCACCATTTAAAACAAAACCGAATTCACCTTGAGATGAGGATACACCTCAAGAGTGTTTGCTTGCCTAGAATATTCAAGGCCCTGTTTGTCGCCAGCAAAATAATACACACACACACACACACCCTCAAAGTAAACTCTTTCACATATTCATAACACAGAAGAAAGCTTTCAGAATCATTTTTCTAGTTTGATAATGACCCTAACCCATCGATTGCAGCTAGCTCCCAGTCTGTAAGCTTGCAGTAGAGGTAGAGCAGTAGAGGTGTCCCCATCTACTAAAAAAGCACAGATTCCTTTGATAACTTAAGCCTTTTCTTTCAACTTTTTACAAAGTTACTGGACCTATCCTTACCTTAAAAGGGCACAGATACAACACCAGATACAGACCAAGCATTTGTCATGTATTATCTAAAAAACAACTGTCCTAGGCCAGCTAGATGGTTCAGAAAGTCAGGATACTTGCTGCAAAACCCGATGGCCTGAGTTCAATCCCCAGGGCCCATGTGGTAGGAATTAACTCCAATAAGCTATTCTCTTGTTAGAGAATACACACATATCATGGCCTACACACCACCCCCAACAAATAAACGAACAAATTTGTCCTTTCTTTAGACTCTTAAAAGTATACTTCTGAGACACTTCTGAGCTGTACCACAGAAAGGCATGAACTGTGCTGACTAGTTTTATGTCAACTTGACAAGCTAGAGTCGTCAAAGAGGAAGGAGACTCAAGAAAATGACTCTGTAACATTAGACTGGCTATAGGCAAGCCTGTAGGGCAATGGTCCTCAGCTTTCCTAATGCTATAACCCTTTAATACAGTTCCTCATGTTGTGGTGACCCCCAAGCCATAAAATTATTTTCATTGCTACTTCATAACCGTATTTGCTATTGTTACTAGCTATAATGCAAATATCTGATATGCAGGATACCCCTCCCCCAAGCGATTGTGACCCACATGTTGAGAAACACTGCTGTAGTACATTTTCTTAATTAGTGATTGATGGGGGAGGGCCCAACCAATCGCGGGTGGTACCACCCCTAGGCTGGTGGTCCTTGGTTCTACAAGAAAGCAGGCTAAGCAAGCCATGGGGATCAAGCAGCACCTTTCCATGGCCTCTGCATCAGCTCCTTCCTCCAAGTTCCTTCCCTGTTTGAGTTCCTGTCCTGACATGAAGTATGAGCCAAGTAAACCCTTTTCTCCCTGTGGGGACCCACAGTTGTGATCCTGCTCTACCATGACTGGAGGTCAGAGACTTTGAGTTTATTTTTGCTCTCTCAAAGTTGTTGACAACAAGTGTGGCTACAAATGAAGAGATTCTGACCCAGGGTGTGGTTAAATTAGTATTTTGAGTGTAGAGGTGGAGCTATTCCATCTGGACCAAAGGTCAGAGAATTCAAGTCTATTCCTTATATCATGTTAATGAAGTCTGTTGCCTCCTCCCTCCCCTTATGTTTCTCTCTTATTTCTCTTACATCTGTTTCTTTTTTACTTAATAATTCTAACCATGTTCTTACCCTGGACCATACAAGTTTTGTTGATGCTGATCTTTGACACCTCCCTAAGTTGGGTATGGTCATAGTGTTTCATTATAGCAACAGTAACCCTAACTAGGATAGTGTATGTATATACATGTACATGTATGTATGTCATGGTACATATGCGGAGTCAAAGTACAACTTGCAGGAGTCAGTTTCTCCCTTTTCATCATGTGGATCCTGGAGATCAAACTAGCCAGTATCTTTACCCAACATTTTGATGTTGCTATTATTTCACTTTTTAAACATGGGGAATCCTCAAAGTAATGAAGACAAATACTAAACATTCTTTTCATTGTAACAGAAAGGAAGTGGAATGGAAGATGGAGCTGAGAGACTAGTTCACAAATACCTACTAGTTTCAGTTTGAAAATCTCGGAAACCATCAAATATTGAACGTGCAGGCCTTCGTCTTTTAGGGGCTGTAGAAGAAAAACAGAATTGGTAAAAAAAAAAATTAAAACATTAATTTTGAATAATATTCTAAAGATATTCTTTATATAAGCATTCTTGTTTTATTTTGTGTGTACGTAATCTTTCCCTACAATGTAAGTTTGTGTAGCATTTGGTCAGGAGAGAGTATCAGATGCCCTGAAGCTAGAGTTATAGACAGTTATGAGCCTCTACATGGGTACTGGAGACTGAACCTCTGTCCTTTCAAAAGAATCAGTCAATGTTTTTAACCACCGAGTCGTCTCTACAGCCCCATATGTATTTTAAAACGTTCATATTTTTAATAATGCCTAAAAGTGAGGGAAAAAAATAGAGTCGGAGAGATGGCTCAGCAATTAAGAGCACGGGCAGATCTTCCAGAGAATCTGAGTTCAATTCCCAGCACCCACATGGCAGTTCATAACTGTCTGTGACTCCAGTTCCAGGGGATCTGACACCCTCACACAAGCATAGATGAAAGCAAGAACACCAAGGCGCACAAAAATAAAAAATAAATTACTAAATTTCAGGACAGCCACAGTTACACAGTGAAACCTGCCTTGAAAAACAAAACCAAAAAGAAAATAAAAAGGGAGCCGGAAGCCGGGCAGTGGTGGCGCACGCCTTTAATCCCAGCACTTGGGAGGCAGAGGCAGGCGGATCTCTGGGAGTTCGAGGCCAGCCTGGTCTACAAGAGCTAGTTCCGGGACAGGCACCAAAGCTACAGAGAAACCCTGTCTCAAAAAAAAAAAAAAAAAAAAACACTGCTCTTGGTCATGCTTCTTTTTAAAGACATTTAAACAAAGCCGGGCGATGGTGGCGCACGCCTTTAATCCCAGCACTCGGGAGGCAGAGGCAGGTGGATCTCTGTGAGTTCGAGACCAGCCTGGTCTACAGAGCTAGTTCCAGAACAGGCTCCAAAGCCACAGAGAAACCCTGTCTCGAAAAACCAAAAAAAAAAAAAAAAAAAAAGAAAGAAAGAAAAAAGAAAGGGAGCCGGGCGGTAGTGGCGTGAGCCTTTAATCCTAACACTTGGGAGGCAGAGATAGGCAGATCTCTGTGAGTTGGAGGCTAGCCTGGTATACAAGAGCTAGTGCAAGGACATGCTCCAAAGGTACAGATGAAACCTATCTCGAAAAACCAAAAAAATCAGTAGCCCTCCTATACACAGATGATAAAAGGACTGGGGAAGAAATCAGAGAATCAACACCCTTCACAATAGCCACAAATAGCATAAAATATCTTGGAGTAATTCTAACCAAACAAGTGGAAGATTTGTATGATAAGAACTTTGAATCTTTGAAGAAAAATTAAGAGTGGAAAGATCTCCCATGCTCTTGGGTAGGCAGAAATAACATAGTAAAAATGGCAATCTTACCAAAAGCAATCTACAGATTCAACACAATGCCCATTAAAATCCCAGCAAAATTTCTCAAAAACCTCAAAAGAACAGTATTCAACTTCATTTGGAAAAGCAAAAAACCCAGAATAGCCAAAACAATCCTGTACAATAAAAGAACTTCTGGAGGCATCACAATCCCTGACTTCAAACTCTACTACAGAGCTACAGTACTGAAAACAGTCTGGTATTGGCATAAGAACAGACAGGAGAACGAATGGATCTGAATAGAAGACCCGGATATCAATCCACACATCTTCAAACACCTGATCTTTGATAAAGAAGCAAAAAATATCACATGGAAAAAAGAAAGCATATTTAACAAGTGGTGCTGGAATAACTAGATATCCACATGTAGAAAAATGAAAATAGACCCGTATCAATCACCATGCACAAAACTCAAGTCCAAATGGATCAAAGACCTCAACATAAAGCCAGCCACACTGAACCTTATAGAAGAGAAAGAGGGAAGTACACGTGAACGCATTGGCACAGTGAACTACTTCCTAAATATAACCCCAGCAGCATAGACACTGAGAGAAACAATTAATAAATGGGACCTCCTGAAACTGAAAGGTTTCTGTAAAGCAAAGGACACGGTCAACAAGACAAAACGACAATCTACAGAATGGGAAAAGATCTTCACTAACCCCACATCAGACAGAGGTATGAGCTACAAAATACACAAAGAATTCAAGATATTGGACACCAAAAGATCACGTAATCCAATAAAGGAAAATGAAGTACAGACCTAAACAGAGAACTCTCAACAGAGTAATCTAAAATGGATGAAAGACACTTAAAGAAATGTTCAGCATCCTTAGTCATCAAAGAAATGCAAATCAAAACAACTCAGATTCCATCTTACACTTGTAAAAATGGCCAAGATCGGGCTGGAGAGATGGCTCAGTGGTTAAGAGCACTGACTGTTCTTCCAGAGGACCTGAGTTCAATTCCCAGAAACCACATGGTGGCTCACAACCATCTGTAATGAGATCTGGTGCCCTCTTCTGGCCTGCAGGCATACATAATAAATAAATAAATAAATAAGTAAATAAAATCTTAAAAAAAATGGCCAAGATCAAAAACATAATGACAACTTATGCTGGAGAGGATGTGGGAAAAAGGGAACACTTCTGCATTGCTTGTGGGAATGCAAGCTGGTACAACCCCTTTGGATGTCAGTGTGGTGATTTCTCAGAAAATTGGGAAACAATTTTCCTCAAGACCCAGTAATACCACTTTTGGGTATATATCCAAAGGATGCTCAATCGTGCTACAAGGACAGGTGCTCAACATGTTCATAGCAGCTTTGTCATAGCCAGAACCTGGAAACAACCTAAATGCCCCTGGACCGAAGAATGGATAAGGAAAATGTGGTACATTTACACATTGGAGTACTACACAGCAGAAAAAATAACGACAGCTTGAATTTTGCAGAAAAATGGATGGAGCTAGAAAACATCATATTGAGTGAGGTAACCCAGACACAGAAAGACAATTATCACATGTACTCACTCATAGGTGGTTTTTAAACATAAAGCAAAGAAAGCCAGCCTAACAAACCACAATCCCAGAGAACTTAGACAACAATGTGGACACTAAGAGTGAAGTGGAAAGTAGAAAAAGACAAGATCTCCTGAGTAAATTGGGAGCATGGGGACCTTGGAGGAGGATTGAAGGGGGGAGAAGACACAGGGAGAGGAGCAGAGAAAAATGTAGGGCTCAATAAATATCAATAAAAAAATTAAATAAATAAATCTTTTAATACAGTTTAAAGGACTAATCATTCTTTGACCTAGCGCAATGCAAGTCAAGTCCGTCTGTGTGTGTGTGTGTGTGTGTGTGTGTGTGTGTGTGTGTGTGTGTGTGAGGATGTTTGTGTGTGTTTGGGTTTTAGAGACAGGGCTTTTCTCTTAGCCTTGGCTGTCCTTGAACTTGCTCTGTGGACCATGTTGGCCTTGAACTCAGAGATACACCTGCCTTTTGAGGGCTGGGATTAAATAGTATGAGCCACCACTGCCTGGCTGCAAATTCTTCTCTTTGTAGAGAGGGTGTCACATACCTTTGATCCCAGTATTTCTAAGGCAGAAACAGGCACATTTCTGTGAGTTCAAAGCCAGATTGATCTAGAGCTACACAGTGAGATCATGTCTTGGGAGGGAAAAAAGGCAAGTGCTCTTCCTACCTCCAGCCCTTGCCCTTATATAAATCCTAAGCCCCAAGATTTAAGAATTCTGTCTTAGTGGATGCACATGTAGAATCATAAACACCAAAAAAATACACTGAAAATTTCTGAAGTGTTCCCATGATTACACAGGACAAAGTTCTTCTACTATACTTTTAGAGAACCTATATTCAATTTTTATATATTTTATATAAAATTTAGAATGTATTAATTGAAATGTTACTTTTTTTATTAGAAAAATGTTTTCAAACTTTATTACCCATACATATCATACTCTTGGAGCTCTGTTGATGTTGTTTTGGGCAATAGGCTCTGCCTCAAAAAGCAAAACAACATCAACAGAGCTGTGGCTGACCTAGACCTCATTATGTAGACCAGGTTGACCACCAGATCAGTCTGCCTGAGAGCTGGGATTTAAAGGCATGTACACCACGGCCAACTGAAAATGAATATGTTAAATAAATTCTTTCAGTGTAACACTTTAAATTGATGTGTGTGTGTAAGTGTGTGTGTGTGTGTGTGTGTGTGTGTGTGTGTGTATGCCAGGCTGTGGTATACGTTAAAGATGTGGCAAACACCTTTAATCCCAGCACTTTGGATGTGGAGGTAGGCAGGCAGATCTCTGTAAGTTCAAGGCCAGCCTGGTCTACAGAGTTAGTTCCAGGACAGCCAGGGCTACACAGAGAAACTCTGTCTTGACAAACCAAAAGGAATCACTCAGTTAAAAGAAAAACAATTAAAATTACAAAATAGATAGCTAAGCAGTTAAAAGCAACTGCTGCTTTGTTCAGTTCCCAAGAAGTACCCACATGGGTTAGCTCACAACTATCTCTAACTCTAGCTCCAGGGGATCCAATTTCCTTTTCTGGTGATTTGTGTGTGTGACTGTGCGCGCACGCGAGTATGTACGTATGCACATGCACACCCACCCACACCCCACAAATTAAAATTTTAAAAACCAAAACCAAAATTTAGAGTTGGTAGTACTTGCCCAGCATGCATGAAGCCCTGGCTTCAATCCTGCGTACCTCATAGTCCTGGAGTGGTGATATATGCCGGTAATCATAGCAGAAATTTAAAGTCATCTTTGACTACATGAGTTGAGTTCAAAACCAACCTGAGCTGGCTACACAAGCACATGTTTAAATGTCATTCATATAAGCACACATGACCACCAATATTTATATTAAACTATCATAATTATAATGCCAGAAATAGTGCTACATGCCTGGAATCTTAGTAGAAATAGGAGGTAGAAGGTCATAAAGGGCTACAAAATAAGTTCAAGACTCGACTACATAAGACTATCTCAAAAACAAAAGAAACACAATTACCTTCAGGAAGAGACTTTCTAAAATAGTCAGTATTAAATTTTTAAATAGTTAGCCCAAATTTTAAAAAAT